GCCCTCCTCCCCGTGCACAATCCCGTGTTCTGCCCTTCTCCCTCCTTGTACCCTTCCCACTAGCATCAACTCCCCCTGGTACATTGAGCAGCACCCCCCATAGACTCAACGTATGTATGTAAGTATGTTGGACTTCTTTCGCACCGTACCAACCGTGCAACACTGCCCATAACACAAAACTGCCCACAGACTCAACACTGCACCATAGACTCAACACTTCCCCTGTACATGAAGCAGCCCCCCTCCTTAACCTCCTTCCATTCCTCCCTTAAAGCCTTCTCTATTTCCCTTCCCTTGCCCCTCCACTCCTGCCCGTCCCTCCCCTGGCCTTTCGTGATCCCTAAGCGCCCCTCTATCGCTACCACTCATTCCTTAACTCTTGCACGCCCCTGCTATTGAAATCATCCTATTCCGTCGTCATTTTTGAAAACCATGTCAAGCGCCTTGAGTGAAGGCCTTCTATAAATATAGATGAGACGAAGATTGTAAATAAATATAGATGACTTTAGATTATCCAGGAAAGCCATACCGGGTCCATCGACTCTTCCAGGAGGGTTGCTGCTGCTACGTTGGGTTCTCATTTTAAGATTTTTTTTCAGCCAATTAACAATGAGATTTGTGTGTACATGCGGGAAAAAACCGGGGCAAGGGGGTGGTTCAACAACCGTCACCGTACAGATGGAAACAGACGGAGGCATTTGCCGTCCCGCATGCCTCTGGCACCTCCAACGCCCGCAGCAAGGGAGTTAACAGCGTATTGCGGGATCCCAGCAACCCTCGCCTCCGAAGACGCGTGCGGAGCCACCGCCGAGTTGATGCCGTGGTTGAGCCTGGGTAGCGCTTGGAATGTCTGAGAGGAAGCCGCGGTGCGTGCCGGGTTGTCTGGATTCTCCGGTTTTCTTCCCACAAGAAGCCAAACGCTCGTTATTAGAATCCCTACGCAGCAGCAGCAGCATCTTCCTGCAGAAGTGTTTTGAGACTCTGTGAGGCTTCACATGGTAAACATGTAAAATTATTATTTCAAAGTACATGATGTAATATTAATCATAATTTGCACCTAGGCGCCTTTTATAAAATGCTGTAAGGTGCCGTGCATGAAAACACGAAGGATAACGAGGCTGGAGGCAGACTAGGAGCAGAAGAAGAACCACGCTTAACCAGGACAAAAGGATTAGCACTTTCATAACAGGACTTTAAGGTGCCACCATTTATCTACAAGCCTGGTCTCCATGTGTAAAGGAGAGCGCCATCAGTCGGGAGTGGCGGAAGGAATTGGCTCCATTCCACGAACGATCCGTCGTGATGTCACGAGGCCACTGGAGTGCACCCTGGCACGACCCCACGCGTCCCAGAGAGGAATGCTCGAAGCTTGCGAAATCCTCCTGGTTTTTTCGGTTTTTTTAACCCCCCCCTCACCCACTGGAACGTTGAATCATCGGACCGCTGCTATCGCGTGGCATTTGTCTGCATGGCTGCCGCTGGAGCCGTGACAATGACATTGAATAATGAACAAAAGCGGTGTTAGGTTTCAGCTGGGGGGGGGGGGGGGTGGGCCCAGCTGGGAGGGGAAGCCCTCCCCCAAGGTCTTTGTACGATACGAAACATCTTGTCGATCTTTCTGGGATTAAATACGCACTACAATGACAATAGTTTAAAGCAATTTGAAGCATGTTTTATTTTTGGGGGGGGGAGGGCAGAGCTTTGTGACGTCATATTTGAGGAGGGGGGGGGTCTGACTTTTGTTACGCCGTGTGACGAAGGGGAGGGGGGTCAAAAATCCTCCAAATTCGCGTGACGTCATTTATAGACGGCCCCTAGCAACGAATTGGCACGGTCTGTTTACGTGACAAACCTTACTAATTGGCTGTGTCGGGTGGTGGCGGGTTTAACGACGCATTTATATATTTACGCGATCTAACCCAAACAAAAACCCCTCTTATGGATCCAAAGACGATCGACAACATCGACTGGGAGAGCTCGATCCAGAATGGACACCAAGCTGGGCGACCGGGGGAATTCCGCAAAGCGAGGAAGCGGGCGAGAGGGGAGCGCCCGGCGGCCCGCAGGAACACGGCCCGGCCGTGTTTCCTCCATAGGAAGCCTAAGGGACGTCTTCGAGGCGTGCGTGCGTTCGTGCGGTGGTAGCGACGTTTTAATTTGTGTTCAGTTTTTGTGTTCAGTTTCCGTACGGGGAAACTTGGCCGCGTACGTATCGCCGACCGCGCGAGCGGTATTGTTGTCCAGCGCCCGAAGGGCAAAATGTTTTTGTAATTGCTCGTTGAACCCCCGCGCGTTATTCCTCTCCGACGAACGGCACGGAAGCTAAAAGTTTTGCGAGCGGCCGGGGGTCGACACGAGACGACCTCTGCGTACCAGCGAGGCCCCGGAGGGGGTCGCGGACGATTCCAGCCTGATCGCCGGGGCCGCTGTTTTGACGCCGCAGCTGAAGGCCGCGTCTCTGCAGGTGTCGTTCCGTGCGCTTGGAACTCCGCGACGCGCGGAGCCACGGCGGTGCCGCTGCTGCCGCCCGGGCGGCCTTGGCCACGTCGCTGCGTTCATCTCGGCCCGCGGAGGAAGAAAAAAAACCCCAACGCGCCACCGATGCTTCGATGCGGCGCCGCAACCATCGGAGCGAAATGGAACAGCCAGAGCGAGCGGCATATTGGACCAGTGGTAGTTCTCCAGGGGGCCTAAGAGGGGCTTGTGTCACCCTAATGAACAGCTGTGATTTCTCCCCCTCCCCCGAACCTTCCCACGGCCCCCCTCCCCAATGAACAACTATTCAGAGGCACTATGAGTGATTGTGTAGGCAGTCGACTTGAAGTGGAAGAGTTCATCTCTGCCGAAGTGGCCGACCGCACCTCGCCATCGCTTCCTTCCAGTTGCAGTCAACACCTGACCTCTCAGGACGGCTCTCAGTCTCCCACTGGTGGAGTGTTATGCCGTGGATGTTGTTGCCCTCTTCCCCCCCCCCGCATCTCCCCCTCCTTTGGGGCCCCTCCGTTTACCGTGCCCCGAGGATCGCCGCTGTGACGTGACGCCGCTGTGACGTGACTCCACTGGTGACGTTACGCCACTGGTCACGTGACGCCGCTGCGACGTGACGCCACTGCGACGTGACGCCACTGATGACGTGACGCCACTGCGACGTGACGCAACTGACGACGTGACGTCACTGTGACGTGTGTGCGGTCGAGGCCGCCGAGTTCGCCGCCCGCTGTTGAATGGGGACGAGGCCGCAGCGCGAACCGTCGCGTCCATGCGCCCCGCTACTCGCTTCTAACGGGAAACAAATTTTGTTTGTCTCCCTTGAACGCAGTTCCTCGCTTATTGCTCAAGGCAATTCGACGCACAACCGAGTTTTAAAACAAATATCCCTAAAGCAAGATGTGTGATGCGTTCTTGCCCCGAAGGGGAGACGCGCGGTGTCATCGTCGTTCCCTGTTTGCTTGTAGATTGAAGGGTGGCGTCGATTGACCCCCCCCCCTCCTGTTCAATGTGAAGAGTAGAGGCCATATCCGGGGAAGTATGGACCTTCGCCGGCGACCGCCAGGCTTGGCTTGGCTGCCGACCTCTCTCGGATCGCGCTTTCGTGGCCTCGAGTTTTCTCTGAATTTCTGTTAAATAGTCCGAGGGGTTTGAGTCCGCGACGCGTGACCTCTGCAAACGAGAGAGCGGCGTCTGGCGCGCTGCTCGGTGGTCGCGAACGACCTCTCGCGGCCTGCGGAAGAGCCGCTCGTTCGTCTCGTGACCGCACTTTGGCCCAAACAAAAACCTTTAAACAAACGAGGTTCTCGTTCGCGGCCCCTTTTCACGTCGGCGAGCAGGAATGGCGAGGCGCGAGCCGCAGCCCGAGCGAGTTTGAGCCGTCGACAGACGCCCCCCCCCCCCCCTCCCGATGGCTCCCACACAGGGTAACAGGCTGCGTATTTGTTTATGAGCTCGGAAGCGGGGGCCGGTGGCTCCTCTCTGCGTGGCTCCGTGCGGAGCTGGGAGAGGAAATCTCTGGCAAGCTTTGCGAGGCCGGTCCATTGAGGCGGCGCCACAACTGTGCTGCTTGACCGGCGACCCGAGTTCGAGTCCCGCTTGTGTCCAACAACTGATGAATATCTGACACACGTGTTCTGGATTTTCTCCCAGACCTACAACGGCCTTAAACGAGCGCATGGCGCAGTGCGTAGCACACCCAGCGCTGGTGGGGAGGGGGGGGTGAGGCGGTCGGCCGGGCGTGGTGGTGTTGGCTGCGCCTCCCTCCCCGAGCGCCTTCTTTGGCGCTCGCTAACGGCGCCAGCAGCCTGCTACGGCTGTCGGGGGTAAGACGAGTAGGGCATCCCCTTTGTCTGATGCTGTGTGTTTGTCTCGGCGGGGTTCAATAGAAGATGGGCGTCTGCCAATCCGATCCGACCTAAAGACTCTGGAGCCCTTGAGGACCACGCTGCACGGTGCGGCGGGACGCGGCGTTCCACGGCAGCCGGCAGCCACGTGCGAGTCCACGTGGCGGGGCTGGCGCGCCGCACCAGTGGACCAGAGCGGGTGTCTGTCCACGAGGGATGGGGTTGAGCGGACACCATCGCGCCAGCGTGCATCTCGGTTTAAGGGTTCGGAAGGCGTCATTGTGTCCACATGCCCCACGTCGCACGGCCGGGTATCACGTGTGCATCGCCTAGTTACACGAGCGTTAGTTTGTAGATGTTTTGGTTAATAAAATGAAGAGCCTCAAGGTTAAGTGGGTGTCGCGTGCGTGCCTTGTTGTTGGTGGTGGTGTCGCGTTGGTCGTTCGCTCTGCTGGATTCCCCGACGGCCGGCACGGCGCGACCCCCTCGAGTTCCCAGAGGTCATCGGTTCGAGGCCGAGCTCCGTCATCGACCGTCACGTTGGCCACAGCCTCCTCGCGTAGACGATGCCACGGGTTGTCGATTCGTCGTCATCGCGATCCACGTGGGCAGATAGTCCGCAGGTGTCCACTGCACACATTTCGTCATTTTTTTTAGACAATTCGAAGTCCCACCCCCCCGTGTACGGCTCGCCACGTTTCGTGTGGCTCGCAGCCACTCTCGGTCTCTGAACTCGGTCAACGCTCGTTCCTTTTCGCATTTTGATTCTTGGACAACGCCAAGCCGTGTTCAGCGTTGCCCACCGAAAGAATGGCAGTGTTTGTAAGTCCTATTCGGCCCCAAGGTTCCACCGCCTGTGTGCTGCTTTAGATGATGTTCGGGTCTCCGCAGCACACCACAACATGCACCGCGGTTCACACAGCGAGGTCCCAACATCGCGACCGGCCGCAAACAGGACTCGAACCTTCCGCCCGCAAGCTGGCTCAACGTAGTGCACACTCGACAACAACAACAACGACGACAACAACAAAACTACAGCGATCTTGGCAGGAGCGCGCGTCTCATCATTCCGTGCACCCCCCCCCCGCTCGCCAGCCCGAGACGATCATCGCGTCCCCCGTCTTTCTAGTCGTGCGGTGACGCCAGCAGCCGCCCGCTCCTTTGATGGTGGTGGTGGACGGTGCCTGTGATGGGTGGACCCCGTGTGTGTGTGTCCGTGTGTTTGTTCCGCACTTAAAAGCCGAGGCGGGTTCGAGGTTGCGCCACACGGACGCGTGAGCGCAAAGGGGTCGCGGGGCACGGATCGGAGCTGTGGGCAATCGTCCGTGCTGGCCCGGCATGAAAGGGCAGAGCTAGCGGCAGCAGCAGCACAGGTAGATATACACACACACACGCGCGTGTATACACACAGACATGTAATGACCACAAAGACCACCCGTCTAACCTTAACCGTCTGTAGGGACAGGCGCTGTTAGCGAGCACCTGTAAAGGCCGGGGCACGGCACACGCCCGGCCACATTTGTCTCCCTGGTGGCGATGTTTAGACACCGTACCAGGTACTCATTTGAGGCCGTGTTGACCTAGGGGAAGCCCAAAGCTGGTTTAGATAATCGTCACTGGTGTTGACTGTGAGTGGGAATCGAACCCGGTTGACACACATGTACACATGGCTATGTACACATGTATGTGTTACGGGTGCACATGTAGTCATGACACGCATTACGTGTACAACAGCACATTTTAAGAAGAGTGGCTTTTATGTTTTCATTTGGGAAAACAGGTCATGTTTTTTTTATATTCGTAGGTTATCGTTATTGAAATGAAATAGAGTTTTGGGATTCAACGATAGAATTCAAACGGACATTAGATATTGAACGATTGAAAATAATCAGCTTGACCGATTTGCCCGACTGGAGATGACAAATACATTGGCAGAATATTACCAAATATCTAAACCGGACCATTTCACCCATACGGGAATCCCTGAGAAAAAAAATATACATATTTGTTCCCGATGCTCAAAGGAGCGGTGGGACAGCAGTCGTCGCTGTTGGCAACCCGGAGCCGGTGTTGGAAATGCCACGTTCCTATGACGAGGGAAGGGGGGGGGAAGAGGCGAGTCTATACGAAGGAAGATTTCTCAAACGCACGCGCCTTGAATGCGCATAACGGGGACAACGAGAGCTCAATAGACGCCTCGGGTGTGCCGCAATCTCAAGACGCCGCGTCAACGGAGGATGAATATTGCGGAATTTCTGCGAGAAAGCTGTCGGAAATTTATTTTGTTTGCATGTAGGCGGGGTGAGAGTTTAAGAGCGTGCGCGCGGGGTGAGTCGCTTGCGCATCTCGTAAGCGTACAAAGAGCAAATAGTGTTAACATACATTACTATTAAATTGCAAATAATACAGTTACAATTAAATGTATGAAGAGAAAATAGCGTTAACATACATTAAATTACTATTAAATTATAATTAAAATTACAAAGAGAAAATTGCGTTAACATAGATACAATTTCTATTAAATTACAATTAATAAAAAAAATCATTTATAAAGAAAATAGCGCTAACATACATTAAATCACAATTCAATTACAGTTAATTAAAAGTACAGCAATCGAGCAAATATAAAGCGGAGCAACAACAACAACAACAACCAATCGCTTTGCCGAAAGACGTTGGAAACGGTTCACAAAACAGGATTCCTGTATTTACATTTAACTAAAATTTGTTTTTTTCGGAGTTGAGTTCAACACATTCGCAATATTTTGGCGATGCCGCTATGGCAGCGATGGTCAAAAAATATAGACATGGTGCTTAGAATGTCTTTTTTAACACTTGTGAGTATTTGCAACAATACCGCGAGAAATGTGCTGCTGCCTCTGGGCTCTGGAGATCACCTGGAGAAGATTCCAGGCACGCGTTGTTGACAATGATGGCGAACAAGTGGGAGACTCTTTGACCTTTTGAATCCATTAACATTACATTTGTTATCACGTCACAGTCTATTGTCCGTTCTTTTTTCCATTAAAAACGATGGTCCCGAAAAGTGTTAATACTTTTTTGAAGCACCATGTGTCTACACAGTGTATATATAATCGGGAAATTGGCCCTTCTGCATCACAGTGGGATTTGCGATCGTTGTGCCGGGCTGCAAACAGACAGGAGCGGTGGAAGCCTCGCCACGATGCGTTGAGCGATGCCCTCTTCTCTTCCTTGCAGAGCGGCGGACAGGTCGCGTCCCACCGCTGAATCGGACATGGAGGTCAACTCGTCCCAGCTGTGGGAGCGGAACGGCAGCGGCGACGGAATTGACGTGGGGCGCACGGACACTGCCCAGGTGAGGCGCCACGGTGGCTAGGAGACGTTAACTACCTCGCCTGGGTATGCAGGAGGCCGACCCTGACGCCTGCTGCTGTGTATTTGGAGTTTGCGTGTCTCTCTCTCTCTTCCTCGCTCCCTCGTGGTCGCCTGGATTTTTCTCTGGGTCCTCCGGGTTTTCCCCTCCACATTTATAATCAACATCACGCGTTTAGAGTCTTTGGCCGCCGCTAAACATTTCCACGCGATAAGCCACTTGGTTGAGCTATCATTTGTGGCCACATCGCTTCTGGGAAATAAAAGAGAGCGACATCGCTCAGTGTTTTGCTGCCTTGCCCAAGTTTGCATTTAGTGTTGGAAAAAAAATCGGTAAATTTGTATGTACAGCACTTGTGCAATTTCTACTTATAAACTTCATATATATTTTTATTGCTCATGTTCAATGCTTCACTTGGCAGTTTTATCTACTTGGCACTCCTCTCGTTTCGTATTGTTTTTTGTTGTTGTTGTAACTTGCTGACCCACCCCGACACGACAAGTGTGAAAAAGAGCTTCATGGCTCATCGGATTCCTCCTACAGTCTAAGCTTAGATCCTGATCCCCTCTCTCTCTCTCTTCTCGAGCGAGCGACATCATCAATGAAGGAGATTGCACCATCATCATCATCATGATGGTACAATGTCCTTCATTGTTATCCGAATCAAAATATTGATTTATGCTCGAGCCATCCGTAGCACTACAAAGCTCTTTCTTTCACAGATGCCCAGTAGCTTTTCACAGATGTCCACCTCCGATGAGCACGGTTGGCTACGCACGGTGCGAAATAATTTCAACAACACACACACACGTGACAGCTGAGCAGGCGCTACAAGCTTGATAATCACGATTACGACGACATTGCAAAAAATCCTTCAATTCTTCACTCCGCTTTGCATCCCCCGCACCCCAACCTGCCCCCCCCCCGCCCCCCAACCCGACCCCCCGCCCCCCCCTGCCCCGTGGGTGGGCTTGCGTGCAGACGGTGACCTACGACCGCAGCAGCCGCATCGCCACGCTGGCCACGATCTTCGCGCTCTCTGTGCTGGGCAACGCGAGCGTCCTCGCCAAGATCGCGTGCGGCGCGGCGCGCGGCCGCCGCAGGGCCCGCCGCGTGGACGTCCTCTTCAGCAACCTGGCAGCCGCCGACCTCTGCGTGGCCCTGCTCACGCTGCTCTCGCAGATGGTCTGGGAGGCCCTGGAGGACGCGTGGCTCGGAGGCGACGCGTCGTGCCGCGTGCTCAAGGTGCGTGCGGCACGAGAGGCGGCGGGGTCGGTCGGTCGGCGGCGGTGCCGGTCACCTCGGTCAGTCAAGCCGTGGCACCCGGGTCTGTCCCGTGACCTCCGGCCGGCAGCGAATCTTCGACATTTCACGTGACCTCGAGGTGCACCTAGCCTGGCGCAAGCATCGTGGTGACGTCAACGCCGCTGAGTGGTGTTGGTAATGTGGAGTGGCGGCGCAGCGGTTAGCGGATTGCGCGATGAACCCGGCGGTGACCCGAGTTTGATTCCCGCTCACAGCCGCCTCCGGTGACGATTATCTGAACCGGTCCTGGGCCTCCCCTAGGTCGACACAGCCTCAAAATGAGTACCTGGTGCGTGTGTAAAAAAAAAAAATCACCATTAGGGAGACAAAGGCGGCCGGGCGTGGTGCTGGCCACCCATCCCATCGTGTGCCTTGCCGGCCTTCATAGGCGCTCGCTAACAGCATTTGCTCCAGCGGCCCGTTAAAGCTATACGGAGGAACTTTGCCTTTGCGGTGTGGTTAGTATGGTGTTGCGTGCGTGGTGAGTGCGGTGCGGCGAGCGCGGCGAGCGCCGTGTCATTGCCGCTGTCGCCGCTTCCCCCGCCCTCCACCCCGCAACAGGTGGCCCAGATCTTCGGCCTCATGGCCTCGTCCAACATGATCGTGGTGATCGCGCTGGAGCGCCACCGCGTCATCCTCTACCCGTTGGAACCTCCGCTGCCGGCGCGCCGCCTCTGCCTGTCGGCGTGGCTGTGCGCGCTGCTCCTCTCCGCGCCGCAGGCTCTCGTGTTCCGCGCCGTCCACCCGGACCCCGCGCAGTTCTCGCTCTCGTCGCCGCCGTCGCCCTCATCGCCGTCGGCGCCGTGGCCGCCGTCGCCCTCGCCGTCGCCGGCCGCGTCCGGACGCTGCGTCAGCACCTTCTCCGAGCTGCCCCGGTGGCACTTCCAGGCGTACATCATCTACGGCGCCACGGCCGTGTTCATCGTGCCCTTCTGCGTGCTCTGCGTCGCCTACACGCGCATCCTCTACACCGTCTGGAGCAAGGAGCGCCACGCCTCGCCGGCGCGCGCCGCGCCCGGCACCCCGGCCGACTCGCGCCGGAGGCCCAGCAACGGCGGCCGCGCGGCCAAGAGCCCGGCGGTGGCGGCGCTGCGCGTGAAGCCGGCCAACAGCGCGCTCCCCCGCGCCAAGGTGAAGACGCTGAAGATGACGCTCGTCATCATCCTGCTGTTCATCGTGTGCGGGCTGCCCTACTTCGTGCTCGAGATGAAGTTCGCGTTTGGCAGCGCGTCGCGCGCGGACGAGCAGGTCACGGCCGTGCTCGGCATCTTCGTGGCCTCCAACTGCGCCGTCGACCCCTTCGTCTACCTCTTCTTCAGCTCCGACAACCGCTACGTGCGCTACCTGGAGACCAGCCTGTGCTTCGCGTGCCTCCACGCCAGGGGCCGCGGCCGTCGCGGCGGGGCCGCCGGCCTCGGCGGCGGCAGCGCGGCGCTCGCCGACGGCCGCCGCCGGAGCCGGCAGCAGGGGCACGCCGACGGGCGCGCCGGGCTGCGCCGGGACCGGCAACGGGACCGCCTGCGCCGCGCGAGCCGGCGGCCCGGCGCCGCCGTCGGTTGGACGCTGGGGCCCGCGCTCTGGGGCTGGGGCGGCGGCGCCGCCTACTCGGAGGCCGAGCGGGGCGCGCCGGCGGGCCGGTGGAGCCGAGGGCGCCGCGGGGAGCCGTCCAGCTCGTCGTCCGAGCTGGAGAGCGCGGCGTGGTACGGCACGTCCTTCTCGCTGGGCCAGAGCGAGGGGCGATCCGCGAGCGACTACTCGGTGTGCGAGAGCAGCTTCTGAGCTTCGCTCGCACTCGGGCACGTGTGGCCGGGTCACTTTGCCCGCATGACCAGGCCACTGCATGCCCAGCCACCGCATGCCCAGCCACCGCATGCCCAGCCACCGCATGCCCAGCCACCGCATGCCCAGCCACCGCATGCCCAGCCACCGCATGCCCAGCCACCGCATGCCCAGCCACCGCATGCTAAAACAGCTTCTGTTTGGCCAGATAGAGGGGGCTAAAGGAGCGCAGCACGAGCTGGAGAAAGGAAATACTGATGCGGTACAGGAGGATGTGGAGCTGAGTGGACTTGTCGATGACCGGTACTGGCAGTGTCAAGAACAGCCTCTGTGGAGAACGCTGCGATGGTGCAGGTTTCCCTCGCCCTATGCGGGTTCGGTGTATGGGGAAGTATTCAATAGGCGACGCTGCGGGCAAATGGCCTTTCATGGGGCCCCTTTGGCCACTCCACATGGGCCCCCTTGGCCACTGCGCATGGGTCCCTTGGCCACTCCACATGGGTCCCCTTGGCCACTCCACACGGGCCCCCTTGGCCACTCCGTGAGTGCTCCCGCGCTACGGGTGACCCAGTGGTATTTGTTTCAGAGGCCACGTCTCCGTCTCCTCTGCTGCGCCCACAGTCTTCTACTCCCTTCTCACAGCAGCCCGTGCGGTCGACTCCCTGCCGCTGTGACTAATGCATGCTGGGTAACGTGTACGGCTTTCCGGCGTTTTGTGTGTACGTGGTTTGTTCATGATTCCCGCTCACGGCCAACACCATTGACGGTTATCTGAGCCGCTCCTGGGTACTCACCTAGGTCGACTCAGCCTCAAATGAGTACCCTGGTTCGATGTGTAAACATCGCCACTCGGGAGGCCAAGGCGGTGGGGGCGTGGTGCTGGCCACCCATCCCCTCGTGTGCCGCCACCCACAGGCTTATATATGGGGAGATCTTTGTCTTTGTGTCACTGGACACCGCTGGGACGGCCTCGCAGTGAAATGTTTGAGTGAGAAATGCTCTTAAGTGCGGCTGCTCTGTCGGGACAGCCGTGGCGAGCGCTCCGCTCCTTTCCACGTCGCGACGTTTCACCTCGCACCTTGGAGGCGACTTCAGGCATTGTGAATACAGCCGAGGCTTTGCCACTGCTCATGGGAGGCCATTCATTTGTACCATAGATTAATAGGTTCATAGATTCATAGGTACCATAGGTACCACATGTTCCATAGATTAATGGGTAGCATAGATTCATATGTTCCATAGATTTATGGGTACCATAGATTGATCGGTTCCATTGATTAATCGGTACCTGGATTCATAGGTTTCATAGATTCATAGGTACCATAAATTCATAGGTACCATAAATGTATCGGTACCATAGATTCATGGGTCCTACAAATTCATAGGTACCATAGATTAATCGATGCCATAGATTAATCGATCACATAGATCCATGGGTAGCATAGATTTATCGATACCATAGATGTATCAGTACCATAGATTAATTGGGACCATAGATTAATCGATACAATAGCTTAATCGGTACAATAGATCCATGGCTACCATAGATTAATCGGGACCATAGATTCATGGGACTCGTAGATTAATGACTACCAAAGATGAATCGGTATCACCGGTTCCTATGAATCATTGTGCAGTTGCCAGTCGCTAAATTATCGGGTGCATGTGTAGACTGTTTTTTTGCTGTGGAACATGATGTGATTGTAGATCGATTAAAATGAGACGTCGACGTTTGTTGCACGTCTGTGTGGGTTTCGTTTATTCTCAAAACACATGTCCATACCATGCATGAATAATGACAGCACACACAGTGCCGTCAACGTGACGTTACGGATCAACACCGCTCATGAAGAGCACGGTGATTAACTCACCAACTCATCGTCGACCACGATGAAGGCTCAGCTCGAGGGCTGGACCTTTGTCACGCCTGATGATGCCGCATGTAACGCTCCTGCGAAACGTCGGACGAAAATCGTCAAAACGTTGCTTTGGCTTTTGAACATTCCTCCCCTCGAGTATTGCTGATGAACCAAATCGATCGGTATATAATCTGTAGATCACGTGACAACTTGATTAGATCGGTACTGTCGGTGTTGAAGGGTGACACATCGAGGTTGCATCTACACGGCGATCTAACCCGAAATGAACCCATGATGAAGTGTAAATCCACCGCTGGACGAAGTCTGCCCCGAGGCGCCATCTCTCACATCCCGGTGTTGTTGAGTTTTGTTTGCTGGCCACAAAACCCAAAACGTCAAGCGGTGTCAGCAACAAGCAGCACGAAGTATCAGAGTTGTAATGTAACACGGGGTCACAGCGCGTGTCTTCAAGTGAGCAGGCAGCTCACAGGATATCGGGGGGGGTGGGAGAGGGCGCGCGAGGCTGTATTTGTGAACCCGCGGCCGACGCAGCGGCAGTCCACGTCGCAGGGGACATTCACGGCTTCAACCGAGCCCCAAGTGTGGGTGAGGCCACGTGCTACATTTATGCACCACCCCCATCAACGCCTACCCCCCAAAACCCCCCAACCCAAGCCCCGCCCCCGAGCCCCCCCCAATCCAAGCCCCTCCCCCAAAACTAAACCCCGCCCCCGAGGCCCCCCCCAACCCAAGCCACCGCCCCAAATCAGACCCCGCCCCCGAGCCCCGCCTCCGAGCAAACCAAGCCCCCCCCCCAAATCAAACCTCGCAATCCCGAGCCCCCCCCAAATCAAACTCCTCCCCACGAGCCCCCCCCCAAGCCCAAGGCCCCGCCTTCCCCGCCCCGCGCGATGCGGCCCCGCCCCTTCAGCGCCGCGCGCGCCGCATCCGGCAACTGGAGCCGGCGTCACGTGACGGCTGTCGGAAGTGGCGAGGGGAGAGGCCACGCCCACGTTCGTGACGCAGGTACAGTCGTGGCCTTTGCCCACGAGCTCACGGACGGTCGTGAATAATGAAACAAAACCCCAATACAGATTGTTGTTGTTGTTATTGTTATCATTCATCGTGCTCGTGTTGCCGCAGCTGTTGCGCCTAGTTTAGCACGAGCAGACGAACGGTGTGCATGTATCGGACGGCATCAGCACTGTCATTCACAGCCCATCGGGTCAGTCCCACCGCTGTATGAGTGATTCGCGTCAGCTTCGCTCGCCGGGGTTGTTTGGTCATACTTCACCTCGCTGGTCAGGGCAGCTTGGTGAATGCATGGCCGGGTGGTGGGGGGGGGGCCCAGGACCCGTTCAGATTCAGCTCCTCGCGCCACTGATGTTAGCCGTGGCGGGGAATTGATTCCAGGATCACGAGATGTGTTGCGCAGTGCGCCCACCACTGCCTCGACACCCACGCGCGGTATCCACACGACGCAGCATCACACGATGATGACAAATACTGTATATACAGTAGCACAGTACGGTGTCCGTGGTACACAGCACTGTACAGCGCTGACCAGCGCGGTGAAGTATGGCCAGACAAGCCTCGTGCCTGACGCGGCGTGGGGAGGCCCTCATTCAGCAGTGGATTCACAGAGGCCCCTACACTGCCGTTGCGTTGTCAGTGCATGCAGCTGATATGCCCATGCTTAAGCAGTGTAGGCTTTACAAAGCCGCCTGTGCACACTTGGCAATGTGTCCCCACGGTCTGGAGAGCGGCCTGAGTTTGCATTTGTTAGCACAGATGAGCAGCACTGAGTTAGTGGCAATGCACTTATACGCTCACAATGTATCTTTCATTGCTGATTTAAGTGTGAACCCCGGGTCGTATTAAATGAAACGACTTTTAAACAAATACATGATAATGAGCGCAGTGACAAATATAGTCTAGAGCGACAGCCGTACTTGTGAACTCCACTGCTGGATGGTTATGGCCCTCCCTACGCAGTATTTGACCATACCTCACCACGCTGGTCAGTTGTGAGTTGGTGGAAAACGGGGGGGGGAGGCATAGAAGTACTGTACTACTCTACAGGGCTGAACGTTGCTGCGCTGCCCTCTGCTGCCCACCACGCAGGCGTGCAGCAGCAGCAGCACCGCCTTGTTGTGCACGGTGGTGGCGTGCACGGTGGTGGTCGTGCGCTATCCGAGCGCTATCGGGGCCCTAACAGCGAGGGATTTGAACGGACGCTTTGGCCCACACGACATGGGACCTTTTTGCCAGTATGAAAGTGTAATGACGACTTGACACACTTCTCTTGAGATGGCACTTTATTGAAGACACGTTCACGTGACATCAGGCGGAGACCCCCCCCACTGCAACAGCCCCGAGTCTCCCGTACATCTCCCCCTTTTATACCGACACGAGGCCACGCCCCCCTTCTCGATCATTCTCGCCGACTCTGGACGCTCGCTCCACCGGCAGACTTCACTCGGAATCTTCCGTCACCCGACCACGCTCCCCTTCTCGATCATTCCCGTAGCCACCAGCCCCTTCGCACTCGCGACTGATGCCCTGGCCACTAGTGCATTCGCACTGTAGGCTGACTCCCCTGTCATTACCTCCCGTGGCCACTAGTGCACTCACAGCGCATGTAGACTCTACTGTCTTTGCAAAAGTATGAAAAAATATGAATCTGTTTTACCCTTTACGGCAATAAAACAGGTGTCAAGATCTTCTTTGGTTCTTTCGGTAAAGTCACGTAGAATGAGAATAAAATAATAAATTGATAAAATAAAATAACACAATAATATTCTCACGACGTTTCGGCCACAACACAAGCGGCCTTCATCAGGTGAAGGGAGCGAGCTGTCCTACCAGACAGTCTCGCTCCCTTCACCTGATGTCTTCACCTTCACCTGATGTCCTACCAGACAGTCTCGCTCCCTTCACCTGATGAAGGCCGCTTGTGTTGTGGCCGAAACGTCGTGAGAATATTATTGTGTTATTTTATTTTATCAATTTATTATTTTATTCTCATTCTACGTGACTTTACCGAAAGAACCAAAGAAGATGAATCATTGCAGTCACGAAAGCTTTAAATCGAAAGGTGTCAAGATGTTCAAACACCAAAAAGATTCCTTTTGCAAGGAATCAAACCTCCATTAACCACACGTTAATGCAGGCTTGATTCTTCTTCGAATTGAAAGTGGGTGGGTCAACTTTTTTGAATCAATCCGCAATCAAATCGTGGACCCCCCCCCCACGTCTGCCCAATGTGAAAGGTTTCCTCCACAAAAATGATTAAGTTTGCTCCGCTAGGTAAGTTCCCGTGCTTGCCCCCTCCCCTGTTCTTGCTCACAGTCCCCCCTCCCCGTGAACCAAACTCAATTTAAATTCCCTCCGTGTGGCGGTCTATAATCTCGGGGACAACCGAGCGAGGATGTTTTGGGATCACAACCTCACCATCCTTGTGCTGCTTGAAAACACTTTTGCACCTCAGATTTCGTTCCAAGCGTGTACTTACAATTGAACGCTCTGCTTTGCAGACTTTTAAGTTATTAATGGGTTTTTTTGGTATGTAATGCGTTGTTAACCTGATATTTTTCCATGCAAGTACCATGTTGATGTTGAGACCTAGTCATTCTGAACGTGACGATGAACACAGTTGTGTTCATGTGTTTGTGTTGCTGTAACCAGGTTTCTGTCACCAGGTACCTATAGAAAATGAGCATTTATTTCCCACTGGGTTTCATCTTTGCCAAAATAAACCTAAATATACCAAAAGTAAACATTGCCCCCGCCTGCTGGCAGACCGGGCGCTGGTGTTCACCTTGTACCGCACAGGGACAGCTGCCATTGGGAAGATGTTTCGTTACGACATGGCACAATACAAGTGTAAGTCGCGTGACTTGTTGTTCCTTACGGTGAGGGGTCATGTGACTTTGTTGTTATTGTTGCTGTGAGGGGTGAAGAGGCGGCGAGATGGCGAGCAAGGAGGTGAAGGTGGCCCTGAAGGCGGCGCGTGAGGCCATCAATGGCAAGGACTTCAAGGAGGTGCTCAAGCACTGCAAGGTTCGGCGCTCACTCACGGGGGAAGCAACGCAAAATATAACGTCTGACGTTTCAATTACATATTCTTAATCAACTCGAGCCTCCTGTAAATCACGTGACTTCTGTGTGGCCGCTATGTTGTGGACCGGAGGCCACTAGAAGGGATCTACAGTGAGGGAAAAAAGTATGTGATCCCCTGCTGATTTTGTACGTTTGCCCACTGACAAAGAAATGATCAGTCTATAATTTTAATGGTAGGTTTATTTGAACAGTGAGAGACAGAATAACAACAAAAAAATCCATAAAAACACATGTCAAAAATGTTATAAATTGATTTGCATTTTAATGAGGGAAATAAGTATTTGACCCCTCTGCAAAAGATGACTTAGTACTTGGTGGCAAAAACCCTTGTTGGCAATCACAGAGATCAGACGTTTCTTGGAGTTGGCCACCAGGTTTGCACACATATCAGGAGGAATTTTGTCCCACTCCTCTTTGCAGATCTTCTCCAAGCCATTAAGGTTTCAAGGCTGACGTTTGGCAACTCGAACCTTCAGCTCCCTCCACAGATTTTCTATGGGATTAAGTTCTGAAGACTGGCTAGGCCACTCCAGGACCTTAATGTGCTTCTTCTTGAGCCACTCCTTTGTTGCCTTGGCCGTGTGTTTTGGGTCATTGTCATGCTGGAATACCCATCCATTACCCATTTTCAATGCCCTGGCTGAGAGAAGGAGGTTCTCACCCAAGATTTGACGGTACATGGCCCCGTCCATTGTCCCTTTGATGCGGTGAAGTTGTCCTGTCCCCTTAGCAGAAAAACACCCCCAAAGCATGTTTCCACCTCCATGTTTGACGGTGGGGATGGTGTTCTTGGGGTCATAGGCAGCATTCCTCCTCCTCCAAACACGGCGAGTTGAGTTGATGCCAAAGAGCTCCATTTTGGTCTCATCTAACCACAACACTTTCACCCAGTTGTCCTCTGAATCATTCAGATATTCATTGGCAAACTTCAGACGGGCATGTATATGTGCTTTCTTGAGCAGAGGGACCTTGCAGGTGCTGCAGGATTTCAGTCCTTCACCGCATAGTGTATTACCAATTGTTTTCTTGGTGACTATGGTCCCAGCTGCCTTGAGATCATTGACAAGATTCTCCCGTGTAGTTCTGGGCTGATTCCTCACCGTTCTCATGATCATTGCAACTTCACCAGGTGAGATCTTGCATGGAGCCCCAGGCCGAGGGAGATTGACAGTTCTTTTGTGTTTCTTCCATTTGCGAATAATCGCACCATCTGTTGTCACCTTCTCACCAAGCTGCTGGGCAATGGTCTTGTAGCCCATTCCAGCCTTGTGTAGGTCTGCAATCTTGTCCCTGACATCCTTGGAGAGCTCTTTGCTCTTGGCCATGGTGGAGAGTTTGGAATCTGATTGATTGATTGCTTCTGTGGACAGGTGTCTTTTATACAGGTAACAAGCTGAGATTAGGAGCACTCCCTTTAAGAGTGTGTTCCTAATCTCAGCTCGTTACCTGTATAAAAGACACCTGGGAGCCAGAAATATTTCTAATTGAGAGGGGGTCAAATACTTATTTCCCTCATTAAAATGCAAATCAATTTATTAAATTTTTGACATGCGTTTTTCTGGATTTTGTTGTTGTTATTCTGTCTCTCACTGTTCAAACAAACCTACCATTAAAATTATAGACTGATAATTTCTTTGTCAGTGGGCAAACATACAAAATCAGCAGGGGATCAAATGCTTTTTTCCCTCACTGTAAGTGGTAGCTCTGTGATGTCCGCTTCCGTGGGCCGTACTGCTCTGCATGAGACCCCAAACAGATCTCAAGACACGACACCGATAGGACAAAATGGGAAAAAATAGGTGGAAAAGACAACAATAAAAATCGAATAACTCTTTTTCTGTACTTGCAAAACTGGTGGCTCATCTCCGAAACGCCATCTCATCGGGGTCGCGAGTTCACATTGTAAGTTCAAATTCTGGCCAGGGTTGATGGACATAGTGCCAAAATTACAACCCAAGAGACACATCGGCCAAAGGTTGACTTGTTTTGTTTTTATTTTGCGTGATATGGCACAGCCGGATCGTGAGCGCGTGTGCGAGCGCGCGCGCTTGCCATCAAACGGCGCGCGCGTCGCATGTCGCGTCGCGAGCGCCCTCGTGCCCACGTCGCGGCCGTGATGTCACGGCCCCATGCCGGGCGTTTGAAGCGCGAGGATGCAACACCCGGCAGTCGAGCTGTCGCAAAAGGGCGACCACCGCCACACTTGAAGTTCCGCACATCAAACAAAACCCACAGTCGCCCGCCTGCCCCGCCCGCTAACCCGCCCGCCTCCATAGGATGTATACAAATAACGACAGTGTGACTCGCCTCTTGACTCCGCGACGCTCGTGGAATTTTGCTGGCGACCAAATTAAGCCGGATGGGTGTTTACGAGCGTTTCAATCAATGAACGCAGCTGCAGTCCGACGCCGGTTTTATTTTCGGCAAGCGCCGTGCGATCGAGTTGAGGTTGTGTCCTCCGTGCGGTCTTTCTGCCGGGTTTAAAAAAAAAATGTGTGCTCTTCTGCCATTTCGCTGTCTGTTTTCCGCTCGGTGTGCGAGCGATTGAACTCGGCGATTTGTCCGATTCAAACGAACTTGAGTCATTTTGACGTGCGATGCGTGAAGGTGCGCACATCACAAGGTTAGGGTTCCTTTCACCGCGGCACACGCGTTTGTGTGTGTGTGCGCTCGTGGGGAGTGGTGGCGCTGCGATTAAAGTGCTCTGCTATGAACCCGGCGACCCGAGTTCGATTCCTGCTCACGGTCACCAACACCAGAGACGATTTTCTGAACCGGTCCATGGCTTCCCCTCCAACAACTCGGCCTCAAATGAGTACCGGGTGCGATGTGTAAACATCACCACTGAGAAGACAAAGGCAGCCGGGTGTGGTGCTTGCCACTCACTGCCTCTTGTGCCATGCCAGCCTTCATAGGTGCAACATGCTAACAGCACTTACCCCAAAAAAATCAGTAAATCCAATAAGGGGGATCTTTGTCTTGTGCGTAACAGAAGCACACGAGTTGGATTGACGTTTTTTGTTTATTTTGCCGTGCGAATTTGTAAAATAAAGCATGGTGAGTATGAATCAGGACGAATTCCCACATAGAGTTCCTCTTCACAAACACGGCCCTGAATCAACACCCTAAATCAGCGTGCTCCACGTGTTGCAGTGAGTAACAGCAATTTTCGCGGTCAACACGTGAAGCGAAGGCCTTACACTAACACCCCTCACCCACAGTGTAACCCGAGCTTCAACAGCTTGGCCAGCCTTCGTGCTCTTAGCGAGCATTCGGTCGCGTCGACCTATGTCGTTGATCCTGAGCCAGTGGTGGAAATTGTACATTTCCATGATGAGAACGGGTCCATCCGTAGCAAAGCCAGCCTCACGAGGTGGTGCTCATGGCACGGAGGCAGGAGAGATTTATGAGGATTGATGATGGTTGGTGATTGTGATGAGGATTATGAGGATGACGATGATCCTGTCTGTTGTGGTCATGATGATGGTAATGATGGCGGTGACGATGGCCGTGATGGCGATGGTAAAGGTGATAGTGTTGGTGGTGACGGTGGTAGCGGTGGTAGCGGTGGTAATCGTGACGATGGTTATAATAATGATGGCGGTGACAATGGTAATGGTGACGGTGGTGGTGGTGGTGCGTAAATGGCAGCGAGAATGGCAATGATGGCGATGGTAATGATGGTAATGGTGGCGGTGCGGCGATGGGCGACGGTAATGGTGGCGCCAATAAGAATGGTGACGACGATGGTGGTGGTGGTGTGGTGTTGCGGTCAAGGCGGTGTTGCAGGCCGACAAGGAAAATTACACGGCGTGGGTGTTCATCGGCGTGGCGGCCGGGGAGCTGGACCAGCCCGAGAAGGCTGAGGACTCGTTCCGCAGGGCCGCGCACATCGACCCAGCGCAGCCACTCGCATGGCAGGTGTGTACGAGCGTGCGCCTGCGTGTGCCTGCGTGTGTGCGGGTGAGAGCTTTCCCCCGACTCGCGTGCGTTGTTGCTGCTGTTGTCGTCGCTGCTGCTGCTGCTGTTGCTGCTGCTGCCGCGCCCAGGGACTGGCGAGTCTGTGTGAGAAGACGGAGCAGCCGCGCTTCAAGCAGGCCCTCCCGGACGTCTACGAGAAGCTGCTGGGCATCTTCGAGAGGTGAGGGTGAAGCGACCGCGGGACTGCACAGTTGCGGTGCTACGTGGGGGTGGGGGTGGGTGACGGTGCTACGTGGGGGTGGGTGACGGTGTTGCATGGGGGTGGGTGACGGTGCTGTGTGGGGGTGAGTGACGGAGCTGTGTGGGGGTGGGTGACGGTGCTACGTGGGGGTGGGTGACGGTGCTGTGTGGGGGTGGGTGACGGTGCTACGTGGAGGTGAGTGACGGTGCTGTGTGGGGGTGGGTGACGGTGCTGCGTGGGGGTGGGTGACGGTTCTGTGTGGGGGTGGGTGACGGTGCTGTGTGGGGGTGGGTGACGGTGCTGTGTGGGGGTGGGTGACGGTGCTGTGTGGGGGTGAGTGACGGAGCTGTGTGGGGGTGGGTGACGTTGCTGCGTGGGGGTGGGTGACGGTGCTACGTGGGGGTGGGTGACGGTGCTACGTGGGGGTGGGTGACGGTGCTGTGTGGGGGTGGGTGATGGTGCTGCATGGGGGTGGGTGACGGTGCTGTGTGGGGGTGGGTGACGGACCGGCGTGCCGTTGCGTGTGCCCGTGGTTGGTGCCGTTGCAGCAGCGACCACGCGAAATGGTGCGACATCTGCAAGAAGCTGGCAGAGACGCAGGAGGCTCAGCAGCGAGTGGTCGAGGTGACGCCACCGTGCCGCTAACGGAGCGTCGTGCGTGAGGCCGGGCACGCGACGACGGCGCGGTTGCACACGAGCATGCGCGCGAGCATTTTTTTTAAAAAACCCGAGCCCGATACGGCATGCCGCGTGGCTCGCGTGACCGGGGTATCGCAATGGCACCCATGTGAAGGAGTGGGGATTGAGCAGTTGTTTTATATTTCAACTCGCGGTCGTTGAGCGAGCGGCCCGGCGGCCCGTGACGCAAGGCTGATCGCGATAGCGACGATGCACGCGTGCCCAACGCGCGCAACGTCAACAACATCGGTGCGTCCGCGATAAAATTACAAATGCATGAGAGGCGACATTTCGGGCCAGGGGCTGCTTTTAATTTGCCCGCTGCGAGGGAGGGCCGTCCGAAACGTCGTCTGCCCACGGTTTTCCTTTTTACGGCCACGAACGCAGCGTTGTTGACGGACGCCATGAGTTGATTGTAACGCAAAGCGGGTGGCAACCAAGAGGCCTTGTGGTCCCGCAGGAGATGGGAACCCCAGCGCGTTTCGTGCACGATGAGCCTGGAGATGGGAAGGTGGGAAAAGAGAAGGTGGGACAGAGTTCCAAAGCCAGCGACGGGGAACACGATCTTCTTCCTCGTCATTGCCGTGTCTCCTGTCCAACCTTATAGCGGTCTTTTCCCAATATTCTGCACTGGCCACTGCTTCTGGTGTTGGCATTTCCAAATCTTGAGGAGTGCATTGCGGTGCTGGCAGGGCATCTCAGGAGATGATCCATGTGCTTTGCTTTTCCTGACAAGCACATTTTGGGAACGCAGTGATAGCAGAGCAGATTGGCGCTTGCACGATCCGCTCCTTGATAACTCGACGAATTGACTACGGGAAGCGGGGGGGGGAGCCGTCGAGGATGTTAACATGTGCAGAAAGGGAGCGGAACGGGAAGAGAGAATAGAAAGAATGGGAAATCGGAGGGAAAAGATGGAGAAGGAGCGGAGAAACGGGAGCAGAGGGCTCAGGAGAGGGAGGAGAGGGAGGAGGCTGCGCGAGAACCTCGTCGTTGCTGCATGGGCGAGCGGCATCGGTTTTCACAGGGGGCGGCGACAGGTGGAGGCGTTCAGAGTGAGGGTGGCCACACAGAAGTGACGTGATGTACAGGAGGCTGCAGCTGGTTTTGAGGCGTGGACATGACCTCACTTGAGTTGTCTTTCAGCTCGAGCCCGTACTCCTCCGGTTCCACATTTTTCCGTCGACTCTGCCGCGCCGGCCTTCATAGAGGCGCTGGCTCACAGCAATTGCCCCAACAGCCCGCTGACGGCTACGGCGGGGTGGGGTTCTTCACCTGTGCGTGCGTGCAGGCCGTGCGAGCTTGGGTGCGTCTCTACGAGTGGAAGCGCCGGCAGGACGGGGTCGACGGGACGGAGCTGCGCACGCTGTGGGGCCGCGTGACGTCCGCGTTGGCACGCGCCGACGCCGCCGGCCCGGCCGCCGACGGCGGGGTGAGGCTCGGGTTGTCGGTCGGTGCCACTGCCGGTGACCGCGCCGCTGGTGGCCACGCCGCACCGCGCGGTACCGGGGGCCGGGCGCGGTGCTGGCCACCCACCTTCTTGTGTGTCGTGCCGGCCTTAATAGGTGTTAGCGAACAGCACTTGATCCCCAACAGTCTGTTAAGGCTATACGGGGGAACTTTGTCATTGTGTGCAGCTGGAGTGTGCATATGAGCGGCTGTTGGAGATGGGTTCGGAGGACGTTGCTGGGCCGGAAGAGGAGAAGCTCCTGGTGAACTACATCACTTTCCTGTCCAAGGTGATGGTGATGACGACGATGACGATGATGACGACGACAACGATGACGATGATAATGACGATGATGATGACGACGACGATGATGATGATGATGAAGACGATGACGACGACGATGACGACGATGACGACGACGATGATGGCGACGATGACGTCGACGATGATGACGACGATGACAACGACGCCTCCTGGAACGCGACCGTGCCGATTGACGGGCTGTGGTTCCGAGGGCTCCTAACCGCGCGCCGAGACACTCCACCAAACCCTATCGCTCTCTCGCTTCAGTGGGACGAGCTGCCACTCAATCCCACAGTGCGTTTGCAACCCCTCAAACCGCCAGAGGCTGCAATGCACTGTTCCGCGATTTTGAACTTACACTTCAGACGTGTTAAGCATGCGGGCGATCGGAACCGTGATGGCGAAGTGGCTTCTTTACTTGGGGCGCAGAGTGCCGACCGACGAACGTGCCGGCCAGTTAGCGCCGTAATGCTTCATTGGGGCAGACGAGAGACGACTCGGTGTTGTGCCGGCCACCTGGCCCCTCGTGTGCCGTGCCGGCACTTGGCCCGACGGTTTTGTTAGAGGCTACACGGGGGATCTTTGTCTCTGTGCGTGGTGCAGCGTGCCGGCGCCGAGGAGCGTCTGCGCACCACCTGCGCCGCGGCCCTCGCGAGGGACGGCGCCGGCCGGGCCCTGCTGGAGCGCGTCGCCACCGTCTACGTCGGCGCCGGTAACCGCACCGCCGCCACGCGAACCACCGCGCCGCCACCGCCGCACCGCCACCGCATCACCGCTGCCCATTGCAGCAACGTGAATGACGCACGACGTCGACGCTCTTCGCGCGACGACTTCACGGCTTGAGTTTGCGTGACAGATGAAAACTGGCGTGCGTGTGTGCGTGTGTGCGTGTGTGCGTGCGTGTGTGCGTGTGTGCGTGCGTGCGTGTGTGCGTGTGTGCTTGCGTGTGTGCGTGTGTGCTTGCGTGTGTGCGTGTGTGCGTGCTTGCGTGTGTGCGTGTGTGCGTGCTTGCGTGTGTGCGTGTGTGTGTGTGTGTGTGCGTGTGTGTGTGTGTGCGTGTGTGCGTGTGTGCGTGTGTGTGTGTGTGCGTGTGTGCGTGTGTGCGTGTGTGCGTGTGTGCGTGTGTGCTTGCGTGCGTGCCGCAGGCGACGCGAGCGAAGCGGCCGTGCGCTGCTACGAGCGCCTGCGAGCCGTGGAGCCGCGGAGCGCTGCCGCGCGGGTCGGGTTGGCGCTCGGGGAGCTGCGCGAGGGCCGACTCGGGGACGCCCGGGAGACGCTGCGTGAAGGTGAGGGGCGACGTCACCGCCGCACAGCCACGCACGCACCCACCCACACACGCACCCACCCACACACGCACCCACGCACCCACGCACGCACCCACGCACCCACACACGCACCCACGCACGCACCCACCCACGCACACACGCACCCACCCACGCACGCACGCCACCCACGCACGCACGCCCCCCACGCACGCACGCACCCACGTCACGCACGCCACACACGCACGCACGCCACCACGCACTGCCACCCACTGCACGCACCCACCACGCACGCCACCCCCGCACGCACGCCACCCACTGCACGCACGCACCCACGCACTCCACGCCACCCACGCACGCACGCCACCACGCACGCACGCCACCCAGCACGCACGCCACCCACGCACGCACGCCACCCACGCACGCACGCCACCCACGCACGCACTCCACCCCACGACGCACTCACGCCACCCACGCACGCCACCCACGCACGCACGCACGCCACCCACGCACGCACGCCACCCACGCACCACGCCACCCACGCAACCGCACGCACCCACGCACGCACGCCACCCCACGCACGCACGCACATCTGGCCCACGCCAACCCACGCACGCACGCCACCCACGCACGCACCGCACCCACCACGCACGCCACGCCACGCCACGCACGCCCACGCACGCACGCCACCCACGCACGCACGCCACCCACGCACGCCACCCACGCACGCACGCCACCCAGCACGCCACCCACGCACGCACGCCACCCACGCACGCACCCACGCACGCACGCCACCCACGCACGCACGCCACCCACGCACGCACGCCACCCACGCACGCACGCCACCACGCACGCACGCCACCCACGCACGCACGCCACCCACGCACGCACGCCACCCACGCACGCACGCCACCCACGCACGCACGCCACCCACGCACGCACGCCACCCACGCACGCACGCCACCCACGCACGCACGCCACCCACGCACGCACGCCACCCACGCACGCACGCCACCCACGCACGCACGCCACCCACGCACGCACGCCACCCACGCACGCACGCCACCCACGCACGCACGCCACCCTACGCACGCCACCCACGCACGCACGCCACCCACGCACGCACGCCACCCACGCACGCACGCCACCCACGCACGCACGCCACCCACGCACGCACGCCACCCACGCACGCACGCCCCACGCACGCACCCACGCACGCACCCACGCACACACACACGCACCCACGCACCCACACACGCACCCACGCACCCACGCACGCACCCACGCACACACGCACGCACGCACCCACGCACGCACCCACGCACGCACCCACGCACCCACGCACGCACCCACGCACCCACGCACCCACGCACCCACGCACGCACCCACGCACGCACCCACACACCCACGCACCCACGCACGCACCCACGCACCCACGCACCCACCCACGCACCCACGCACCCACGCACCCACACACGCACCCACGCACCCACGCACCCACCCACGCACCCACGCACGCACCCACACACCCACGCACCCACACACGCACCCACGCACCCACGCACCCACGCACGCACCCACGCACGCACCCACCCACACACCCACCCACGCACCCACGCACGCACCCACGCACCCACGCACGCACCCACCCACGCACCCACGCACGCACCCACGCACGCACCCACGCACCCACCCACGCACCCACGCACCCACCCACGCACCCACGCACCCACGCACCCACACACCCACGCACCCACGCACCCACGCACCCACGCACGCACCCACCCACACACCCACCCACGCACCCACACACGCACCCACCCACACAGCCACGCACCCACGCACCCACGCACCCACCCACGCACGCACCCACCCACGCACCCACGCACCCACGCACCCACACACCCACACACCCACACACGCACCCACGCACGCACCCACCCACACACGCACCCACGCACCCACGCACGCACCCACGCACGCACCCACGCACGCACCCACGCACACACACACACGCACCCACGCACCCACACACGCACCCACGCACCCACGCACGCACCCACGCACACACCCACGCACGCACGCACGCACCCACGCACGCACCCACGCACGCACCCACGCACCCACGCACGCACCCACGCACCCACGCACGCACCCACGCACGCACCCACGCACGCACCCACACACCCACGCACCCACGCACGCACCCACGCACCCACGCACGCACCCACACACCCACGCACCCACGCACCCACGCACGCACCCACGCACGCACCCACACACCCACGCACCCACGCACGCACCCACGCACCACACGCACGCACCACGCACGCACCACCCACGCACGCACACACGCACCCACGCACGCACACACGCACCCACGCACCCACGCACGCACCCACGCACGCACCCACCCATGCACGCACACACCCACGCACCCACGCATGCACCCACGCACGCACCCACACACCCACGCACCCACGCACGCACCCACGCACCCACGCACGCACCCACGCACGCACCCACGCACGCACCCACGCACGCACCCACCCATGCACGCACACACGCACCCACGCACGCACACACGCACCCACGCACCCACGCACGCACCCACGCACGCACCCACCCATGCACGCACACACCCACGCACCCACGCACGCACCCACGCACGAACCCACGCACGCACCCACGCACCCATGCACCCACCCACCCACGCACGCACGCACCCACGCACGCACCCACGCACGCACCCACGCACGCACCCACGCACCCATGCACCCACCCACGCACGCACGCACCCACGCACGCACCCACGCACCCATGCACCCACCCACCCACGCACGCACGCATGCACCCACGCACCCACCCACGCACGCACGCACACACGCACACCGCGGGGGTTACACACTTTGTGTGCCACTGATGATAGCCGTGGCCCCGCATTTGAATTGCAGGTGGCCAGTTTCGTAGCAGTGCGCTGGACAATGCAGTACACGAACATACGCACGCACACACAAAGACAAAGATCCCCCATGTAGCTTTCACAGCCTGTTGAGGCAAGTGCTGTTAGCGACTAGCACCTATTAAGGCCGACACGGCACACGAGGATGCGAGTGGCCAGAACCACGCCTGGCCGCCTTTGTCTCCCCAATGCTGATGTTTACACGCCACAATCAGGTACTCATTTAAGGCTGAGTCGACCTCGGAGAGGCCCGGGACCATTTTAAATATTTGCCACTGTAATTGGTCATGAGCGAGTATCGAACTCGGGTCGCTGGGTTCGTAGCGCAGCACTAACCATTACGCCACTGCACCCCACAGCCCATCAACCGCTCACACACGCACACAAGAATTGCATCACTCCCTGTCGAGCTTCCGTAGACTCTTGTGTCCACGTCAATCCGACAAAGCCAGATTTAAAATTGCCGCTCGCGGAATCCCGATCCGTGGTGCAGGCCGGGGTAGCAGCGTCCCTGCGCAGTCTTCGTGCTGTGGCAGCAGGAAGCGCCGTCACCCAGCGCTCGACTCGTTGAGAGGAGCCTGCAGTCCAGGGAGTGTACATCGCGAGGAGGAGGAGGACGAGTGGAGGCGTGAGAGCAGTTTGCCGAGCTAGACGGGCGCCAGACCCCTCAAAGTCGCCTCGTAGGGTTAGGAACCTAATTTGTTTATTTTTCGACTCGGAAATTCCACCGGGAGCCAGTGCCAAGTTGCCACGTGCGGAGTAACGTGCTCGTAGATCTGGTCAGGAGCCGCCAGCCTATATTGACGGCGTTCACGTCGCCGCCGCCGCTTGTGCCGTCAGTGAGCGCCGAGGAGCCGGGCTTCCTGCCGGCGTGGCGCCACCTGTCGGACGTGCTCCTGCGCACCCACGACCACCACGGCGCCGCCGCCGCCACGGAGCACGGTGAGGGTGCTTGCCGTCTCGCCGAGCGGCCTCCGCCCCCGCCGCCACCCACCCACCCGCCCGCCTGCCCGCTCTATCACCCCACCCCCACCTCCCCGCTCTATCGGAGCGGTGCACGTGGACTCGCCGCTGCACGCCGAACGACCGTCGTCAGATTCCTCGCGGTGATTGTGCTGTTGTGTTGGATCGTCGCGTAGCTATCGTGTCAGTTGTGTTCACGGTGGCTTGGAGATGGTAACTACCCCGCCTGGTATGCAGGAGGTCGTGGGTTCGATCCCGACCCTGACGCCTGCTGCTGCTGTATATTTGGAGTTTGCGTGTCTCTCTCCCCGTGGTCCCGTGAGTTTTTCTCCGCGTCCACATTAATAATCAACATCACGCGTTTAGCGTATTTGGCTGCTATACATTTCCACGTGATGATAAGCGACTTCGCTGAGCTATCATTTCTGGCCAGGTCACTTCTGAAAAAGAGCTGTACGGCTCAGTGGGTCTTACCTGGTCAAATAAAGAAAATAAATTCGTAGACTCGGCACATCAACGAGCGTTTGTATAGTGCTGCTACTGGCGCTGCTGCCAGTGCCAGCGTTGCCGGACCCTGACGCCGGATTGCTGTGACGTGCGCCGGACACCGCGGCGAGCGACACGCGGCGCACACGCTCGCTCGCCGCTCACGCACGTGACTCGGCCGCCTTTGAACTTCGGCTGAACGGAGTCGTGCCATTGAAAGGCCAGAAGCCGCCTCCTCCACCTCCTCTTCAGTCTCCCACGCACCTCCCACCCATCCCGCCCACCCCAGTGCCCTCGTGACCTCTGTCCCTAGCCCCAACCTCCCACCCACCCCACCCACCCCAGTGCCCTCGTGACCTCTGTACCTAGCCCGCTGTGATGGGGCCGAGCGTCGGCGCTCCGTGACGTCCGTCCCCTTGTGCTGTGTGGGTTTTCTCCGGGCACTCCGGTTGTTACCTCCCACGTGAAACTCGTTCGTTTTGAATGTTTGGACAAACATCCCAATGCAGGCAACATCCTTTCGGGGTCTCCTGTGCTCCCACGTTGTGCGTTCCCCTTGCCTTTGCCAACCCCGCGATGCCCAGCGTGGTGAAGTATGGTCAAATACTATCCCACTCACACGTTGTGAGGAGGCGGTTATCATTCGGCAGTTTGTTGGCAGAAGGGCTGTGTGTGTACACATGCGTACCGCCCAATGTAACCGGTATCGGACAAAATATAAAAATTCTGAAAAAAAGTCCTGAAAATAACTCGGTTGAGATCACAAGCAGGAGGAGCAGCAGTAACATCGCCCCGCTACAGCGACAGCTTCGCAGGACTCTCAAACAAACGCAACAACGATAATAACAATGGCAATGATTGTAATCCGCAGCGCTGCAGCTGCTGACGAAGCAGGAGGCGGGTTCCGTCGCGAGCGGAGCGCAGCGGAGGGCACTGCTCCGGATCCGAGCGGAGGCGCTGACTGCGAGCCGCCCGGAGGAGGCGGCGGCCATCTACGCGGAGGTGCACGGACGCCCGCGTGCATTTTGATCCGAGTCGACCTCGGGGAGACCCGCCGAGGGTCGCCGGGATCGCGGGACTTTGCCGAGCGCCGCCCCACCGGCAACCTAGCTGTGTTTGCTCCGACGAAGGGCCGTTGTGGCCACCGCCGGCCCACGTGTTTGTTACGTGGGCCGGCGGTTGCCATATCCGTGGCTCGTGGCTGCCGGGCGGTTCGAGCACGGCCAGTTACGGGCGCGGGTAAATTTGATCGCACGGCTCGGTTTGAAAGAGGAGAAACCTGCGGAAGCCCGACTTGCCCCGGGGCGCTCGCAGCGGAGCCGGACACGGGCACTTGCGGGGCGCTCCCCCGCGTGTTTCTGAATTCACAACACCACGGCCAACCGGCGCGAGCGATCCGGCCGTGTGACCACCCCACCGGACCTTGGATGCTGCAATCCGATTCACGATCCTGCAGCACGATTCACGATCCTGCAGCACGATTCACGATCCTGCAGCACGATTCACGATCCTGCAATCCGATTCACGATCCTGCAGCACGATCCTGCAGCACGATGCTGAAGTACGATGCACGATGTTGTCGTTGTGTGGTTGTGTCATTGTGTGGTTGTGTCGTTGTGTGGTTGTGTTGTGTGGTTGTGTCGTTGTGTCGTTGTGTGGTTGTGTTGTGTGATTGTGTCGTTGTGTCGTTGTGTGGTTGTGTCGTTGTGTCGTTATGTGGTTGTACCGATGTGTGGTTGTGTTGATGTGTGGTTGTGTGGTTGTGTTGTGTGGTTGTGTCGTCGTGTGGTTGTGTGACCGTCCCATCGTGCCACAGCTTCTGGTCGAGGCTGCTGTGGACGTGGATCTCAGGGTGGGGCTGGCGGACGCTCTCCTGAAGGGCAAGCAGCTCCCGGAGGCGCGGCAGGTGGGTGACTTCTCGTGCACGTGTGCACGTACGTTGAACTTCTTTCGCACCGTACGTAGCCAACCGTGCTCATCGGAGGTGCGGAGACAAGCGGTCACGCGGTGCGAGGCACCCTCGTCCCGCAGGTGGGTGGCTGGCGTGCGGGCGCCCCGTAGGCGAGACCACACGTGGCGGCGTTGCCCCCTGCTGGCGCTTCCCCCCCCCCCACCCGCCCCGCGTGACGAGGACGACAGCGCCAACGCCACACACTCGCGCGAACGTTCGTGTCGTAAGTTTGGTAGAACCTTAATGGAGGGGCCTGCATCCTGGGGGTGCACCCTGCGCGTGCGTGTGCTCGTGGGGGGCGGTGGCACGGTGGTTATCGCGTTGTGCTCCGGACCCGGCGAATGGGGTTTAATCCCCAGCAGCGGCGATTATCTCAGCCGGTCCTGGGCCCGTCCGATGTCGACTCGGCCTCAAATGAGTACCTTGTGCGGTGTGTAAACACCGCTACCGGGGAGACAAAGGCGCTGGCCACCTGCCCCCTGCTGACCACGTGCCCCCTCGTGTGCCGTGCCAACCTTCGTAGGTGCTCGCTTACAGCACTTGCCCGAGACGGGGGGGGACGTTGTCTTTGTGTGTGTGCGCGGCTCCAGATTGTCGAGGAGCTGCGGGCGTCGAACGCGGACTCCGTCGCCGTACTGGCGCTGCACGGCCGCCTCGCCCTGGAGGAGGGCGACCTGGCGCTCGCCGAGAGCCGGTGAGAGCCCACGATGTGCGCCGCTCATACGGACGACGATTATGATGATCGTGTCGACTTGTGACGCCGCACGGCATTCGCTTCTCTACGACAGAGAGGATGACTTGTGCGGTGTGTACTGGGGAGACAAAGGCGGTCGGGCGTGGTGTTGGTCACCCGCCCCCTCGTACGCCCTGCCGGCACTTGGTAGGTGCCGCTCGCTAACGGCACTCGCCCCAGCATTCTGTTAAAGGCTACGCTGGGGGGGGGGGGTCTTTGTCTTTGTGTGTTGGGGGGGGGGGCAGCTCGGGGGCGGCGCTCGCGATGGAGCCGGAGAACGGGCGGCTGCAGCTGCAGCTCGGGCTGGTGCTGTGGGAGGGCGGCGGGGAGGGCCGCACAGACAAGACCAAGGCCTGTGCCCACTTCCTCAAGGTGACCGACCGCTCCTCCCCCCCGCTCTTCGTTCCCGCTCCTCACCCCTGGCCCCGCTTTGTTTATTCACTTATTCGCGGTTGTTTTTCTAGATTTAAAAGATGTTGTGTTTAGTTTGTCGTCCTTCCCCCGCACCTCCGATGAGCACGGTTGGCTACGTACGGCGCGAAAGAAGTTCGTGTTGATGGGTGGTTGTCGAGGAGATGGGTGGTTATCTTCACGATGGATGTATGTCGCGGCGACGGCCGTCCTGGAGATGTGCGACTGTCCCCGACGCTGGACGGTCGTCGTGAAGATTGCGTGGTTTCTATGCCGTTGGACGGTGGTCGTGACGACGGGCGGTCGTCGTCACGGTTGCGGTGGCGACAGGCGGCGCGGTGCGACCCGTTCCTGGGCGACGCGTTCCTGCACCTGGGCCTCTTCTACCGTGACGTTGCGGGGGACCTGGGCCGCGCCCGCGGCTGCTTCCGCCGCACGCTCGAGCTGAGCCCCGCGGAGCCGCGCGCCGGGGCCGGCGCCGTGGACTGCAGCGTCACGCTGGGTGACGAGGTGCGGGAATGAGTGAGTGGGCGCGTGCGTGGGTACTTGTGTGTGAGCGTGTACGTACGTGGGCGCGTGTGTGTACGTGCGCGAGTGAGTACGTGTGTGTGTGTGAACGAGTGAGTACGTAATTGAGTACGTGTGTGTTCGAGCATTCGTGTGTGTGTGCGTAAGCAACATTAATTGTTATACTCTCCTATGCTCCCATGCTTGTGCTCTCTGGCCTGAACAACCCGCATTGATCAACCCAGAATTGGATTGCCAGAGGGACGTGCGTGCTCTCCCACACGTGCGTGTGTACGTAACATTCCTGCCTTCACAATGGATGCAAATTAAAACCTCAACGATCATTTAGCAGTGTCGGTCGGTCACTTCAGAGGGACCACGACAGAACCACAACAACATCACGTGAACAAAATAAACCGGCCCACACTAACGCAATATTAAATCGTTGCCGGTCATTGTCACAGCAGCTCCCGGCGCTTGACCAAATCGGCCAGAATGCACCTGGATTCTCAGCCGCATCTGGGAAGTCGAACCGCGCCGGGCCTGGTGGCTGGCGAGCGTGCGTGCGTGCGAGCTTGTGTGCGAGCTTGCGTGCGTGCGTGCGAGCTTGTGTGCGAGCTTGCGTGCGTAAGCGCGGAGTCGTTGACTCCGCCGCCGCCGCTCTTTCCCCCTTCCCAGGACGCGGCTCTGCAGATCCTCACGGCCGTCACGGAGCAAGCGGTGGCCGGCACGGCACAGTGGGCCTGGCTGCGGCTCGGACTCTACCACCTGAGGCGGCGCGACCACCCCCGCGCCATCACCTGGTACGGTCCGCCCACCCTGCAACACCGCCCCCCCACAAAACCGGTCCACGGTTTTGCTCGTCTTGAATCAGCACTGCTGAAATCATGCACTCCCAGAAGGCCGTGACCCTGATGCTGATAGGTTGTGTAAAATAAAAATATTTCATTATTACTTTTGTGGAGCGACGGATACTTTAAGGCGACGGTATTGTCTGCCTATTTATTTTGCTATTTATATTATTCGTGCACACTCATGATTAGTTTGCTGCATGCGAATGAGAGGTCACATTTAATGGTTCTCGGAAGTCGTTCTGTAACATCTGCTTCAGCGGGTCACAGAACTACGAGCGTCCGTAGCAGTGGCACAACAGGCAGTTCAAAGGTAACAACGGGGGGTGTCGATTGTCAGTGTCACCGAGTGGAGAAGTGAGACTCGTCTGGCTCTCTGGCTGCCTCTTGCTGCCGAGGCCTTCCTCACCGCTTCGTGACGCCTCGGACACCCCCGTCGCCCGTCCCGGTTGTGGCGGTTCACGGGAGCGTGCGTCTGATGTGCGTGCCGTGCCATCGCCGCGTCGCGCTATGCCATCTGTCAAGGTGCCGCGCCACGCGGCACGGCGTCGTGAGTCCGCATGCTTCTCCGCCGCCACGCGCCCTGACTAATCCTAAGTGGCGTTGCGCTGCACTATGTCGCGCCATGCTCTCCCGCGCAGCCTGCAGTCGGCGCTGCGGGCGGAGCCGCGCGACGCCGTCAGCTGGGAGTGTCTGGGCGAGGCCTACCTGGCACGCGGTGCCTACACCGCCGCCGGCAAGGCCTTCGCACGCTCCGCCGAGCTGGCGCCGGGCCCGCAGTCCACCTACAGCCGCTACCAGACGGCCGCCATCAGACAGGTGGGAGCGCAGGGGCGGGGGCGCCGCGCGTAGTCGGGGAACTCGAGTTGCTCGTTGTGACACGTCGTGACGCGTTGTGGCCGTAATGCATTGTGATGCGTTGTGATGTCATGTGATCGTCGTGCATTGCGATGCGTTGTGATGCCATGTGACCGTTGCGTGCAGTCCCTGGGCTCGCACGCCGAGGCCGCCCGGCTCTACCAGCAGCTGCTGTGCGACGACCCCACGCACGTACCGGCCCTGAAGGGTGCGTGTGTGCGTGTGTGTATATGGGGGGCGAGAGTGCAACGGTCAGCATGCTGCGGTATGAATCCGGCGACCCGAGTTCGAATTAGCTCACGACTTCCCCTAGGTCGTGTCAGCCTCAAATGGGTCCCTGGTGCGCTGTGTAAACATTGTCATTCGGGCATGGTGCTGGCCACCCACCTCCCCTTGTGTGCTGTGCCGGCCTTCATAGGTGCTCGCTAAACAGCACTTGCCCCAGCGGTCTGTTAAAGGCTATATGGGGAATATTTGTCTTTGCTTGTGTATTGTGGGCAGCGGTGGCGCGGTAGTCTAAACGCGCCGCGCTGCGAGCCTGTTAACCCGAGTTCTTGTGACGATTTGCGCTCGTGACGAATGTGCCGGGTAATAAATAATTGGCGACCCCGCCGCGGCCAGGTCTGGCCGAGAGCCACGTGGCCTTGGCACGCGCCTTGCTCGCCGATCACCTGGACGGCCGCGCGGTATCGCACACTCAGGAGGCCCTCGCCGCCCTCGCCAGGTGACCCCCCCCACCACCCCCCCACCACCCCAACCACCACTGGCACTGCCATCGTCGCCATTGTCGTTCACAACGTCTTCAGCCTCATTACGATCGCGCATCTTGAGACGCCGTAGTGGAAGCTAGAACGCACGCAGTTGTCGCCAGAACTGGCGTAGAACAATGACCCAAGCTCTTTGGCCCTAAGTTGGGATGTTTATCAAACACCATCAATGAGTGTTAATACATCAGCAGCAACATCGGAGTCATCACACGCATCATCATCATCATCTTGCATCGTCACCTGACGCATCGTCACCACCCTCTTCGTCCCCCGCCAAAACACTCCCCCCCCCCCCTCTCCCATCTCCCTCCCCCACCCCCCCCTCCACCCCCGCTCTTCTCCTCTCGCGTGCAGCGCCGTGGTGCTGCGCCCCGACTTCTCGTGCCTGTGGAAGCTCGTGGGAGACGCGTGCACGGCGCTGCACCGCCTGCACCCCTCCAGCGTCTCCCTGGGAGTCCCCGCGATCCTCCTGGGCCCCGGCGACGGGGGCCTCCCGGCCGGCACCACCGCCACCGTCGGCAAGCGGGCGGCGCTGGAGCTGGGAGCCAGGTACCGCACCGCCGCGTGAGCCCCGCTCCGCCTGCTCGATGCCGCACCGCAGGCTGTGCCACTCCGGTGCCAGCAGGCGAGCCGGTGTGAGTGTGCGTGTGAGCGCCCGTGTGAGCGCCCCTGTGAGTGTGCATGTGAGCGCCCGTGTGAGCGTGTGTGTGAGCGCACGTGTGAGCGCGCGTGTGAGCGTGTGTGTGAGCGTGCGTGCGAGGGCCCGTGTCAGCGCCCGTGTGAGCGCGCGTGTGAGCCTGGAATCCGCACGTAGCTCACGGCAGAATTCTCCGCAGCAGCAGCAGCATCACCAGGTCACTCGCTGAGCTTCTGAGATCTGATTGAGAATCGGAAAGTCTCAACGCATTTGTCACGAACGCTTCTGCGGCCTTAAAGGGAAATATATCATTTCGGGCAACAGCGTGCTGTGCAGAACAGCGTGCTGTGCAGAAGGGCCACAACAGCGTTATTGACAAACGTGTTGAGTGTTTTTTCAGGACTAAGTTCAGTTTTCCAAAAGCGCCCCAGCCTGCTGTCGTCCACCTTACCGTTTCATCACCTTGAACTTTGACTCTTGTCGCGCCCCCGCCCCCGTCCAGGTGCTATGGCCGCGCCCTGCGCCTGCTGCCCGGCTGCTCGGGCCCTTGGCACGACCTGGGCGTCAACTACTACCGCCAGGCCCAGCACCTCCGCCAGGAGGCGGCGCGGAGCCCCAGCACGGAGCTCGCTCAGGAGACCGCCGGTGCGGCCATGGAGGTGCTCGACAAGGCCTTGCAGGTGCCCGCCCCCTGTGGTGAATGCGGCGCCGCTCTTGGCTGGAGGGGCCACCGTTGCGCCCGTGCGATGTGACCCTCCACCGGCTCCCAATCTGACCCCTGATCCATTCGACTCCTCACCGCCCGCCTCTAGGCCCTCCATGTGCTCGCGTCAGCCAAACTCTGATCTCACTCTACTCCCCTCCACGCACTCTCCTGCCTCTCATCTCACACCACTCCCCTCCACGCACTCTCCTGCCTCTCCCTCTCATCTCACTCCACTCCCCTCCACGCTCTCTCCTACCTCTCCCCTCTCATCTCACTCCACTCCCCTCCACACACTCTCCTTCCTCTCCCTCTCATCTCACTCTACTCTCTTCCACGCACTCCCCTACCTCTCCCTCTCATCTCACTCTACTCCCCTCCACTCACTCTCCTTCCTCTCCCTCTCATCTCACTCTACTCCCCTCCATGCCTCCCCTACCTCTCCCGCCTCATCTCCCTTTACTCCTCCCCGCTCCAGCACCACTGCACCCTTTGTAGGCGCTCGCTGATAGCACTCGCCCTGCCAGCGGGCCGGTTAGAGGCTCGGCGTGTCTGTGTGTCCGTGCTCCCCCCCCCCGCAGAGCCTGAAGAAGGCGGTGATGCTGGACAGCTCCAATCACCGGCACTGGAGCGCGCTGGGCGTGGTGGCGGCCAGCGAAGGTCCGTGCGAGGGGGGTGGGGGGACGGCACAGTTTTTAATTTTTCGGATGAAAGCTCCGTCAACTGAAACATCCCTTTAAGGACGGAACGTCTTGTTTGCTTCCTGACCAGGGTGTCAAGTGGCACGCGGCAAACATGCAATGACGCATGAACGCGCATGCGCAACAAACCAAACACAAAAAGCAGATCTAAAGAAATTACTTTTCAATCTAAAATGAGTTTTCAATCTAAACACTCAACAACAACAGCCGCCATTCGGCACCATGTGGTGTTGATGTCACCACAGAGCTTGTGCCGAATGCTCGCTGACAGGAGGTCACGGGACAGATTCAGGTGTTATGGGTTAACTGACTGTGATGACATACATGTCAACACGTGATGATACATGCACACATTTTGAATCTATAACTTACAGGGTTTGCGCTTATGCAACGAACATCACGCCCAGTTAAAACGTAGAGGTAAGAACACACATGTCTAAGTGGTACACTCCGTCAGTTGAAGCGTTGTCCGAGTGAGTTTTAATGAGATACCCCGAGGAAGACGGCGTTGTTCAGTGAGGCTGGGAGATCGTTCCGTGCTGAAGCCGCTCGGCGTGCCGGATCGAGCGTTGTGCCCTGGCGGGTTTTTATTACTCGCGCGGGGGACGGTTTTATACGTTGTGATTTGGGCGCCCGAGAGCAAGGTGACGACCGATGGGCTAAAACGATCGCTGGTCGAGTCGAGCGAGGGGGTTGATCGCCGGTGGCGGTAGCGCGAACTTGCTCAGCTCAGCCTTCGTGAACGTCGCCCGCAGGTGTGAAGAACGAGGCCCTGGCCCAGCACGCCTTCATCAAGTCCATCCAGGCCGAGCAGAACGTACGTCGCTCGCGTTCCCAGTCCCGGCTCGCTCTCCTCGTGCCCAGCTCTGGCTCGGGCGAGCCGCCGGCTCAAAGCCGCGCGCTTAACCTGAGCCGGAGCTGACCACTGATATCCTTCACCAAGGCCATCAGAACCATCAAAACCATTATAACCTTCAAAACCATCAAAACCATCAGAACCATCAAATCCATATCCTTCATAACCAACAGAACCATCATAACCATCAAAACCATCAGAACCATCATAACCATCAAAACCATAACCATCCAACCATCACATCCATATCCTTCATAACCATTAAAACCATCATGACCATCAAAACCATCATAACCATAACCATCCAACCATCAAATACATATCCTTCATAACCATCAAAACCATCATAACCATCACAAACATCATGACCATCAAAACCATCATAACCATCAAACCCATCAGAACTATCATAGCCATTGTAACACGTTGCAATCGCTCTGTCCCCTTGGCTCCAGCTGGCGATCGTTTTTGTCAGCCCTCCGTCACAAGACCCTGAGCCTCTATGTGTCTCTGTGTCTCGCTCTGCACGGCCCTTGCCAAGCCCGGAGTTTCCTTGAGCTCACAGTCGACCGGACTTCCAGAAAAACAAACGTCCGTGCTCGTGTTTCTAGAGTCTAGACGATAACCTCCCCGGTTTGATTTCCCTGGAGGGCCACGGGTTCCTCGGCACGAGTGAGCGCCGACATCGACGCGGGTCGTCGCCACCGCTTGCCCTTTGAACTCTGACCTGTGCCGCGCACGCACGTGTATATGTGAGGAGCGGTGGCGCAGCGGTTAGCACGCTGCGTTACGAACCCGGCGACCCGAGGTCGATTCCCGCTCGCGACCAACAATGAGCGACGAATATTTGAACCAGTCCTGGGCTCCCCCTATGTTGATTCGGCCTTAAATGGGTGCGGCGTGTAAAACATCAGCGCTGGGGAAACAAATGCAGACTGACGTGGTGCTGGCCACCCACTCCCTCTTGGTCAGTGCCGGCCTTCATAGGTGCTCGCTAACAGCACTTGCTCAACAATCTGTTAAAGGCTACACGGGGGGGGGGTTCATTTTTGTCTTTGTAGAACGTGGTGGCGTGGACTCACCTGGGTGCCCTGTACCTGGGCAAAGGCAGCATGGAGGTACAATACACGTCGAGGCCACGCTCGCTACGCTCACTTGCGAGGCCACGCTCACTACGAGTCATTGCGAGGCCACGCTCACTATGCTCGCTTACGAGGCCACGCTCGCCACGCTCGCTTGCGAGGCCACGCGCGCTTCCGAGGCCACGCTCGCTTGCGAGGCGACGCTCGCTTGCGAGGCCACGCTCGCTTGCGAGGCCACGCTCGCTACGCTCACTTACGAGGCCACGCTCGCCACGCTCGCTTGCGAGGCCACGCGCGCTTCCGAGGCCACGCTCGCTTGCGAGGCCATGCTCGCTTGCGAGGCCATGCTCACTACGCTCGCTTACGAGGCCACGCTCGCCACGCTCGCTTGCGAGGCCACGCTCACTACGCGCGCTTCCGAGGCCACGCTCGCTTGCGAGGCCATGCTCGCTACGCTCGCTTGCGAGGCCACGCTCGCTTGCCAGGCCACGCTCGCTTGCGAGGCCACGCTCGCTACGAGTCATTGCGAGGCCACGCTCGCTTGCGAGGCCACGCTTACTACGCTCGCTTGCGAGGCCACGCTCGCTACGCTCGCTTGCGGAACCACCCAAGTGGACACGGCCACAGGAGGCCTCCACTCTAGCCCTGGCTTCCAAACGCCATCATGGAGCAACCACAAGATTCTACATGGACCAGCCTAGCTCTCCCTCTCATCTCACTCTACTCCCCTCCACACATCTCCTACCTCTCCCCTCTCATCTCACTCTACTCCCTTCCACGCACTCCCCTACCTCTCCTACCTCTCATCTCACTCGTCTAGTGTGTGAGTTTCCCCGTTGCTGTGCCCCCCCCCCCCCAGCTGGCCCACGAGGCGTTCAAGGTGGCGCAGTCTCTGGAGCCGTCCTACGTCGCGTCCTGGATTGGTCAGGTGAGCGGGGCGTGGGGGGGGGGGCGGGGTAACGAGCCGTGCCAACGTCGCCGCCCCCTCCGCCGCCCCTGCTGCAACCTAAACAACAACAATAACAACAACAATTTAACGTGGAGGGTGTTGCAGCGCTCGTGGTCCGAGTTTGGTTTTCCGTGTTGAGCAGTCCTCCTCTGGAAGCTTGCACCGCGCACCACTGCGGGCGTCTTTGGGAGTTTCTGATGACCGCGGTCAGTAGCGCGTCATGGCCGGGGGGTCGGCAGCCTGCGGCTCCTAAGCCGTCTCGTATTCACATGGCATTGTGGCTCTTGAAATACTGAGTTTATCACGGAATTCTAAAGAAATGGCTCTTGGTCATTTGGTTGCCGACGCCTGGCAGTGATGATAACAAGAATCGCGATAATAATTCACGGCGCTCTTGTCAGTCCCACCGCGCACGGCTGGCTCAGCGGGAGAGCAAGCGGCTCGCAATCCGAAGGTCAGAGAGGTCAAATTCTGCTTGGGGGTTGGCTCGTCCAATCAGTTCGATCTCCGGAGTCGAAAAAATTGCACCACTTTGTGGGGAATTCAACAGTGGTTGTCCTTGAGATAGACTTGCCCACCGTCATATGAACGTGGAATTTCCGCCACCTGCTCTGTGGGGCTGTTAACGGGAGATGGGCGGCGATGCCGCGACGTGGCTCCCACGAGCGGCAGGATCTTGCCGTCAACTCTTTTTTTTTTGTCATTCCACTGCCATCTCACGACCACCCCCACGCCGCGTCGATCGTGGGGGTTGTTTGGCCATACTTCACCACGCGCGGTCAGCGCGGTTTGGTGCAGCGAGCGGTTTGCGTGAATCGTGGCGAATCGGCGCATGCGTCGCGAGTGCCGTGAATTGGCGGCGTGCGTCGCGATCGCCGTGACTCGGTGCGTGCGTCGCGAGCGGGGGCCCCCGGTCGCGATGGAGGAGCCGTCACGCCGCTCGCGCCACTGCCTCCAAACTGCCGCCATCTTCCCCGGCAGGCCCTCATCGCCGAGACGATCGGCAGCGACGAGGCCATGGACCTCTTCAGGCACACGACGGAGCTGGGCGTGCACGTGCGTACCGCAGCACGGCGCGCGCACAAAGAACCCCCGTATACAGGAACACCTCGCACTTTCGTCTGGTTAGGGACCAGAGCGTGGACGAATGTCAAAAATGGACGAATGTCAAAGCAGAGCCTTTATTTATCCTTGCTCATTGTTTGATTGTGTCAAGTTTTTCTTGAAAATTGAGAACCCTATGGGTTCTTTTAGCTTTACTATCACCACACTTAGGACCCATTATGAATATATTAAAGCACAAAAATAAGTATTTTACAATAATCACAAAAATAAGCACAGTATGAATACTGTACACGTGTTTTATAATGACGAAAATAACTATGAGCACTGTAGTACTATACTGTTATAACAAAAATAACGATGAATTGTTTACAGTATAATCACGGAAATAAGTACAGTATTAATATGAAATGACTAAACACAAATATAGGAGATGCTCACTGAACGACTTCTATTCAAAGACTGAACGATTAAGACGGCGCGTGGCGCCAACATCTTGGAAGGTTTGGGATGAAATCGGACGAAAGAGGAGAGTCGTGTGGACGGAGTTTTAAATGTGGTGATAGTCAAGTGGATGAAAGTCAAGTGGATGAAAGTCAAGTGGATGAAAGTGGATGAAAGTCAAGTGGATGAAAGTCAAGTGGATGAAAGTGGATGAAAGTCATGTGGATGAAAGTCAAGTGGATGAAAGTCAAGTGGATGAAAGTGGGTGAAAGTCAAGTGGATGAAAGTGGATGAAAGTCAAGTGGATGAAAGTGGATGAAAGTCAAGTGGATGAAAGTCAAGTGGATGAAAGTCAAGTGGATGAAAGTGGATGAAAGTCAAGTGTACGAAAGTCAAGTGGATGAAAGTCAAGTGGATGAAAGTGGATGAAAGTCAAGTGGATGAACGTCAAGTGGATGAAAGTCAAGGTATCGCTGTATCAAACCAAGCGACCTGAGTTCGATTTCTGCTCACGGCCACCAACCCCAGTGATGATTATCTGAACCGGTCCTGGGCCTCCCCTAGGTGGACTCGGTTTTAAACGAGTACCTGATGCGGCGCGTAAATATTAGCACTGGGGAGACAAAGGCGGCCGGGCGTGCGTGGCGCTGACCGCACCACCCCCTCGTGTACCCTGCCGGCCTTCACAGGCGCTATCGGCTTGCCCGACAGTCTTGTTGAAAGCTGCGCGGGTGACCTTTGTCTGTGCGCTCGTGCCAGGTGGAGGGAGCGCTGGGCTACGTGCACTGGGTGTGCACCACGCTGCGCCAGCAGCGGCCCGGCCACGGCGGCGGCACCGCCACCGCCGCCGCCCCCGTGCTGTACAGCGTGGAGCGCATGGGAGCGGTGCCCAGCGCGCACCAGGCTGCCTGCAAGTACATCGGTACGATGGGGCGGGGGGCGAGGGACGGGGGTGCGACGTCACGTGACCCGTGCTTGCAGTGCGATGGGAACACGACAGAAATAACAACAACAATAATTAAACTCTTGATGCCCTCTGCTTAACCTGGACAGCCTCACCGAGTGTCGACGCGACCCGACGGGCTGTGTCAGTCCGCCTGTAACGGGGCGGCGGTGGGGGAGGGGGGGCGCCTGCGATTACGCGGCCCGGTACGGCAATCGCTTGATGTACGGAACGGAAGAGTTGCACGTGACGTGGAATTCCGTTTATCTGAGCCCCGTTTTCTGTTTGACATCCAGTGTAGAACTGGGGATACGTTCCTACGGAAAGAAAATTCGGCTCCGAGACCTTCATAAAATCATCCTTAGGCATGCAGCAAACCTTATGTAAGCACATTTTAAAAAATAATAATTTTATTAATAAATAATAATACTCAAAACAAGTTACAGGAAACCAGTACAGTGTGAAAAATTCCACACAAACCCATCCCTGTCAACCCCGTATCAATGCCCTACCTTATTAGAGACCAACTCAGACCTTATTAGTCAATCCGTAACCTTATAAATCTCAACGTTCATCCTACAAAGTCCCATCACAAAGGAGAAACACAAAGAAATAGATACACTTTTTTTCCGGTATTGAAACCGCCGTACTCTGTGTGGACCTGAAAACTCAATTTCCCCCGTACAAGAATATGGGTTTAACCGTTATTGGGTTGACAGGCATGCAAACCAGTGGAGTAGCAGCAGCGTGAAGTACACGCTCAGACAAACGACACCGTGCATTGTTCAATCTATTCCCCCAAAAATGTTTTTTTTTATTTAGATTAAAATTTTTACTTAAAGTATATCGAATTAGTTCCCTAATTTATAAGTTAACGTTCTGGCGAAATTCCATACAATGAGTTTCCGTACAACGAGGTCGGACTGCACGAGTGGCACTGTCGTGCGAGGTTCCATGCCCGCGTTGGGCGTCTCCCCGATTGGAGAGCGTCAACTTTGGAGGCGCAAACCAGAGCTGAAAACAAAACCCCTTAGCACATTTGTAGAAGGCCAGACGACGTGGCCATTAAAGGGAGAAGGGTCGACTTCTCACAGTGAACAACCCTGTGTCCCTTCACCCCTTCCCCCCATGCCCCCCATGCCCCCCATGCCCCCACCCCCCTCCATGCCCCCCACCCCACATGCCCCCCACCATCCCATGGCCCCCTAACCCCCATGCCCCCACCCCCCCATCAGAGAGGTACCCAGACGACGCCGTGGCGCTCACCATGCTGGGACTACTCAGCGAGCACCTGGACCTGCACAGGCAGGCAGTGGACGCCTACCACCGGTACCCGCCCCTCTACCCACCTACCACCCCTACCTGCCTCTACCCACCTACCACATCGACCTGCCTCTACCCACCTACAACACCTACCTGCCTCTTCCCACCTACCACCCCTACCTGCCTCTACTCACCTACCACCCCTACCTGCCTCTACCCACCTACCACACCTACCTGCCTCTCCCCACCTACCACCCCTACCTGCCTCTACCCATCTACCACCCCTACCTGCCTCCAGCCACTTACCACACCTGCCTGCCTCTACCCACCTACCACACCTACCTGCCTCTACCCACCTACCACACCTACCTGCCTCTACCCACCTACCACCCCTACCTGCCTCTACCCACCTACCACACCTACCTGCCTCTACCCACCTACCTGCCTCTACCCACCTACCACCCCTAACTGCCTCCACCCACTTACCACACCTACCTGCCTCTACCCACCTACCACCCCTACCTGCCTCTACTCACCTACAACACCTACCTGCCTCTACCCACCTACCACCCCTACCTGCCTCTTCCCACCTACCACACCTACCTGCCTCTACTCACCTACCACACCTACCTGCCTCTACCCACCTACCACCCCTACCTGCCTCTACCCACCTACCACACCTACCTGCCTCTACTCACCTACCACCCCTACCTGCCTCTACCCACCTACCACCCCTACCTGCCTCTACCTACCCACCACCCCTACCTGCCTCTACCCACCTACCACACCTACCTGCCTCTACTCACCTACCACCCCTACCTGCCTCTACCCACCTACCACCCCTACCTGCCTCTACCCACCTATCACACCTACCTGCCTCTACCTACCCACCACCCCTACCTGCCTCTACCCACCTACCACACCTACCTGCCTCTACCCACCTACCACACCTACCTGCCTCTACCCACCTACCACACCTACCTGCCTCTACCCACCTACCACCCCTACCTGCCTCTACCCACCTACCACACCTACCTGCCTCTACCCACCTACCACACCTACCTGCCTCTACCCACCTACCACACCTACCTGCCTCTACCCACCTACCACCCCTACCTGCCTCTACCCACCTCCGTGTGTCTGCCCACCCCATGTGGCCACCAATACCTGCGTACTCCGCCCGTGCAGCTCAGCAGTTGAGCGGGCGCACTGGCGGAGCCAGTGGGGGGGGGTGGGGTGGCATGTGCCCCCCCCCCAATGATCCGATCGAAATCCCTCATTTGATTGAATCATTGGGGTTTATTAGTAATAAATCGGCATTTTGAACCCCCACTGCCACTGTGTAGCATAGTATTACGTGCCAGGGACTCTATGAGATGATAGGACAATAGTCTGAGTCCATAATTGGCAATAAGTAACGGCAAAGCAGTTATGAGTGACTCAGAATTGTGCGCAGTTGCGTATACAGTACACGACTTCCCTGAAGGCATTCACCTTCAGCGAGCGCGATGCCGATCGAACAACGCGGTTCGAATTCGACCCTCGATCGATGGCTGCGCCATCGCCGCACACGCGTCAAATGAAAAGCAAGGGACAAGTCCTTACTTACTAGCAACTCCAATCATTTTCATTGCTGGAGGGGTTGCCCCCCGACCTGAAAATCCTGGCTCCGCCATTGCGCGGGCGGCTCGCATTCGGAAGGTCTCGAGTTAACATCCCGTTTGGCAGAGGGGGGTTGACTTAACCCATCTTCCTGACCTCCGGGGTCAATAAAATTAGTACCAATTTATGAGGAAGATCAACAGCGGTTGTCCTATGGATGGACTCGCACCTACCACAGAAATATGGAATTTCCACCACCGGCTCTGCAGGGCTGCAAACAAGAGACAAGCATCGATGTCTCGAAGTGGCTCACGTGAGCAGGCGCGAACTTTTGACTCTGACTATACTGCCTACTTATGGCTACTTGCTGTACCTGCCTACTTGCTGTACCTGCCTACTTGCTGTACCTGCCTACTTGCTGTACCTGCCTACTTATGCCTGCCTGGCTATGCCTGCCTACCTGCCTACCTGCCTGTACCTGCTTAATTATGCTGCCTATACCTCCCATCCTACCGCTGCCTCTACCTGGCTTCCTTCCCACCCATCCACTCGCCTACCAATCTACCGCATTCATCACGAACACTCTGCCTGACTTAAAGAGCTAAAATGTTCTCTAATAGGGGACGTTTCAGGTAATGGCTCCACTTCATAGCAACACAAATAGAGAAGCCCCGAGCGATGGGGATCACCTTGTTCACCTGCCTTGCAGAAGGGCCGTTGCCCGAAACGTCGCCTATTTTTAATTTTTCCATCTTACCGCCACGCAGTGGTGCTGTTGGCGAGCGTGTCGAGTTTGTTTTTGTTCCACTTCATAATCGTCGCCCGCATCTTGTTTACCGTTGATGTGTGGCGTGTGCCTGCTGCCTGCGTGCACGCGTGTGTCTTCAGGGCTCCGTGGGGAGCGGTGGTGCAGTGGTTAGCGCTACGCTGCGCTACGAGCCCGGCGACCCGACTTCTATTCTCGCTCACGGCCAACACCGGTGGCGATTATCCGAATCGGTCCTGGGCCTCCCCTAGGTCGACTCGGCATCAAATGAGTAGCTGGTGCGATGAGTAAACATCGCCACTGGGGAGGCAAAGGCGGCCGGGCGTGGTGCTGGCCACCCACCCCCTCGTGTGCCGTTCCAGCCTTCATAGGTGCTACTCGCTAACAGCACTTGCCCCAACAGTCTGTTAAGGCTACACGGGAGATCTTTGTCTTTGTTTTGTCTGCAGGGCTCTGGAGGTCATTAGGTCATCGGGTGAGCAGGAGAAGCTGAACTGGGCTCTGAGAAACTACGGCCGCGCCCTGCAGTGAGTGGGGGCTCCCGCCCCCACCCCTCCCCCCGCGGACTTGCGCCCATGGTCACGTCACGACGTTCAGGCCGGAGCGAGACGCCCGTGGGAGGGATGCCGGTGATGGCCGCGCTGGCAGCGGCAGCTGAGGGCCGTGATGGGCGGCCCACGCTAGAGTTCACGGAGCGTCGACCGGAAGGCGGCAACGCGCCCGGGAAGCCGTCAGAGACGGAGCGACAAGATGAGCTCGTGCGCAGCAGGAGCCGGGCGGGATGTTGTGGGCGATAGGGGGGGAGCGGTGGCGCGGCGGTTAGCGAGCTGTGCCCGCGCACCCGGCGACAACCGAGTTCGATTCCCGCTCACGGTCAATATAAAAATGAAGAAACGTCGCCTATTATATATTTAAGAAAATAATTTTATTTTTATGGCAACACAGTTAAGATGTTCAAACACCAAATAGACAGCGATATAAGGCACCAAATCAACATCAACCACACATGCTCGTGGTAAAACATGAAAACAAACAGGCTTCGATAATGTACGCATTGTCCTTGGAACTGATTGGCCTCCTTCCTATGGCCTTGCATCACCGGTGCTCGACCAGAGAATGCCAGAAGGCAAACAGCACGAAGATTATGCAAATGCCAACGCATGCAATGGCTCGGGTTGAACCAGGAAGGTTAAAGCCCTTCTGTGTTACCATGTTAATATCGGTGTAATAAGGGTCCCGGAGATAAAACTGCTTCATCGGTCAGGTTATGTCCGAACCGGTCCTGGGCCTCCAATAAGTCGACTCGGCCTCAAATGACTTCCTGGTGCGGTGCGTAAACATCAGAACTGGGGAGACGAGGGCAGCCGGGCGCGTGGTGCTGGCGACGCCGTCGCCCCCGCGTGCGCCTTGCTCGCTTATTCGGCACTTGCCCGAGCGACCCGTTGAAGTTCTACACGGGGTCCCTCTGTGTTTGTGTGCGTGTGCCGCAGTGCCGCGGGACGCTACGGCGAGGCGGCCGCCACGTTCAGGGCGGCGTCCCCGGTGCCGGCGCACTTCGACGACACCGCGGGGCTCGCACTGGCGCTCTTCAAGCTGGGCAAGCTGGAGGAGAGCTACGCCGGTAACGCCGATAGCGCCGATAGAGGTGATAGATGTGATGATAGAGGTGATGATAGAGGTGATGATAGAGGTGATAGATGTGATGATAGATGTGATGATAGAGGTGATGATAGAGGTGATAGATGTGATGATAGAGGTGATGATAGATGTGATGATAGAGGTGATGATAGAGGTGATGATAGAGGTGATGATAGATGTGATGATAGATGTGATGATAGATGTGATGATAGAGGTGATGATAGAGGTGATGAAAGAGGTGATAGATGTGATGATAGATGTGATGATAGAGGTGATGATAGAGGTGATGATAGATGTGATGACAGAGGTGATGACAGAGGTGATGATAGAGTTGATGATAGATGTGATGATACAGGTGATGATAGATGTGATGATAGAGGTGATGATAGAGGTGATGATACAGGTGATGATACAGGTGATGATACAGGTGATAGAGGGATAAAGAGATGGAGGCGATGCGTTGCCATGGGAAGGTGGAGGGCGGCGAGAAGTGCTACCCCAAACCTGACCCGGCTGGTCGACTTGTGTCTGCAGCGAGCCGCCATTACTCGCTAGCCCCGTTGCTCTGAGCCAGTGAGCCAACCGGCCGCTGGCACTGCCCCGAAGTTGACCGACTAGACGTGCCGGCGGTCTTCACCGACGTGCCGTGACGATGTGACGTGGTCACGGTGCGATGGTGTGACAGTTGACGGTGTGACGCGTGACGGTGTGTCGCCCGTGCAGCGTACGAGCGAGCCCTGGCCGCCGCGGCCTCTGACGCCGACCGCTCGCTGGTGCTCACGGCACTCGCGGCCGTGGAGTTCCGGCGCGGCCGCCACGACGCCGCCAAGACGCTGCTCTTCCGCTGGTGATCACGGGAGCCGTCTTTCTCTCCGTCGGTTTATCTGTCTGTCTCTGTACATTTATAAAATCTGTCTTGCTGGCTGGCTAAATCTATCTGTTTGAATCTGTTAATCCATCTTCTACATTCCCTTCTCTCCTCCCTCGCCTACTTCTCCACTCTCTCCCCTCCTCCTCCTGGCTTTTCACTCCGTCCCCTCCTCCCGGACCGTGCCGTCCGCAGCTCCCTGTCCAAGGAGCCGTGCGAGGAGGGCCTGCTGGCGCTCTGCGCCCTGGGCCTGGCGCTGGGCGACCCCACGCTGTCGGCGGCCGCCCTCTCGGAGCTCGCCAAGCCGCGGGTGTCGGCGGGTCGCGGCGGGGTCGCGCGGGGGGCACGCGCGGGGCGGGGGGCGGCGCGCGCCTCCCGCGTGTCGCTGCTCACGGTCGCCCTGCTGGCGCTGCGGGGCGACGGCGTCGCCGTGCAGCGCCAGGCCTCCAAGGCCGTGCACAGGTAGCCGCCCGAGCCACCGCCGCCATCCCCACCACTGCTGCCGCCCCCACTGCTGTCCCTACCTCCGCAACGCCTCTCCTGCCTCCCTCGTCCCACCGATGGCCTCTCAATTCACACCACGGCGGCTGGGCCTCGTGGTGTTGGCCACCCACCCCGTCGTGTGCCGTTCCGGCCTTCATAGGCGCTCGCTAACACCACTTGCCCCAACAGTCTGTTAAGGCTATACGGGGGATGTTTGTTTTTGTGTGCGCGCGGATCGCAGGAACCCGGGCGACGCGTCGCTCTGGGAGTTCCTGGCTCGGGTGGTGCCACAGTTCACGCCAAACAAAGCCAAGGTGGGGTCGCCACCACCACTGTATCAACACCACCACCACCACCACTCCCACCATTACCATCACCACCGGCCGTGCTCTCGGGAGTGGGACAGGAATTGGAACGAATGAGCAGCGGAGGAGGGAGATGGAGAGGAGGAGGAGGAGGAGAGGTTGGAAAGGGAAGGAGAAGGCATAGGGGATGGCGGGTGAGGTCACGTAGTTTGGGAAGAGTCGTGATCAGGGACGATTCACGGGACCCAGGCACCGCGACGCAGCGCCCCGACCAACGAGCGGCGACGCCGCGGAGTGGCCGACACAGCACCGCCAATATGCGTACATACGCACGTACGTGTATGTACATGCGTACGTACGCATACGCGTGTACGTGCACATAGGTGCATGCATACGTACACGTGCGCGTGCATACTCTAATGTTTGCCCAAACGGCCCCACTCCCCGTGCTCCGCAGGGAGGAGCCACGGCCGCCCAGGTGGCAACCATATTGGACTTCTCCATCGCCAAGGTAACCGCGTGAACTCGTGACCCCTCGCGATCCCACGCCGCCCTTTGCTGCCATTCGACGGTAATGACGTGTCGTCCCCCGTGCGTGTGTGCGTGATGACGTGCCATCCTGCGTGTGCGTGCGTGATGACGGCGCCGCGTGTGTGTGCGTGTGTGTGTGTGATGACGTGCCATCCTGCGTGTGCGTGTGTGATGACGGCGCCGTGTGTGTGTGTGCGTGTGTGTGTGATGACGTGCCATCCTGCGTGTGCGTGCCTGATGACGGCGCCGCGTGTGTGTGTGTGTGCGTGTGTGTGTGATGACGTCCCGCGTGTGTGTGTGATGACGTGCCATCCTGCGTGTGCGTGCGTGCTGCAGCGGGCGCCGCGCTACCACGCCGTCAATCTACTGGCGGGGGGCTCCGGCTTGCGGGGTCTCAAGGCCTCGCAGCGGGCCGTGCACCTCTACCCAGGTGAGCGGCGCCCCCACCTCCCCGGTTAGTCCCGGTGACCCGTAGAGGTAAAGGCGCGGCCCCGCGGTTACTTGCTCGCACCGCTGCCGGTGGGGGTCCCCCCCCCCCCACAAAAGGAGAGCCGCGAGGGATTCTCCCACAGATTCGTTAACCGGCCACGTTCGCCAAACGGCGGCGGCCGGAGGAAGCCTGCGCTTGTTGAAGCCGCTGCTCAGTCGTTGCCCCTGTGCGGACGGAACCTGCAGACGACGCGGCGGGCTGGGCCTGCGTCCTCGCGGCCAGCCACGCCGACGCGGTGCGGCGCTGGGCGGACGCGACGGCGCCACGGCCGCGCCCGGGCCTCAGCGACGCCGTGCTGGACATCGTCGCCACGCGAGGTGAGCTTCGACGCCGAGAGCCAAAAACGCAACCCAGTGCGCGTGCAACAGTCGGGTCAACGTTGGCCCGACGTTGGCCCGACGTGGTCGGAGCCTGCCGAGTTAGGTTCTCTCGCTGCACTCCCCCCCCCACTTCCTCGTGTGGAAGCCTCTCAGGCCTAGCGTGGTGTTGGCCACCTACCGCCTCGTGTGCTGTCGGCCTTCACAGGTGCTCGCTAAGCGAACAGCACTTGACCCAAGTCTGTACTTGACCCAAGTCTGTTAAGGGCTATACGGGTGGGGGGCATCTTTGCCTGTGTGTGCGCGTGTGTGTAGTGAACAGCGGTGAAGTGGAGGCCGGGCTGCATGACCTCGGCGGCTGGGTTCACTGCCAGGCGGCCTCAGCCGAACTCTGGGAGGGCCGAAACAAGGCCGCACTCAGAGCCTGCTTCAAGGGCCTCGACTCTGTACGCACACAATACACACAACGCACACAACACACTCACGCACACACACAACACACACAACGCACGCATCCGCACGGACACAACACACACACAACACACAAAAACGCACACAACGCACACACACACAACACACACAACACACACAACGCACGCATCCGCACGGACACAACACACACACAACACACAAAAACGCACACAACACACATGCACACAACGCACGCAACACACGTGCACGCAATGCACACACGCGCACACAACACACACACAATGCCCGCAACACACGCACACAAAACATGCACACAACACACGCACGCGCATGACTTTAAAATTGTGCGGCGCACCATTTTTGTTTGCTCTCGGAGAGAGGAAGAACGACCCAGAGGAGCAGCAAACCACAGACGCTGCCCCTAGCGATGCCCACGCTCTTTACTGCCAGGAGATGGCTTGCCAGGGTGTTTTAGTTTTGCCAACCCTCGACAGTGCTAAGTTACCGGGTGCGTGCCACACACACTGCTGAGTGGGATAGAGTGTTGCCCCCTTGCACGCGTGGGTTTCCTCCGGGTGTTGGTTTCCTTCTACAAGTCAACGCTCGTTAATTGGCCAATCACAGCTTCCTATATAGAGGACCGCAGAGCTTGGTGTGTGTTCGGGGGGGGGGGGGAATTTGGTGCCGAGTCACGCGGGTGGCGACTGCCTTCCCAGCTCTGCTGCGGTATTCTCCTCCTGGTACCTCTCTCTGTTGTCGACTGGCTGCATACTGTGTGGCAGCGCATCACAAGTTTACATTATATTATTAATAAGTGGAGGTCCGCAGAGCTTGGGCACTGCCCTGGCTGCTGCTGCCTCCCCGTACCTCTGAGTCGTCCCCTCCCTCCACCCCTCCCTCCCTCCCCCCCTCCCTCCCTCCCTCCCTCCCTCCCTCCCCCCCTCCCTCCCCCCCCTCCCTCCCTCCCTCCACCCCTCCCTCCCTCCACCCCTCCCTCCCCTCCCCCCCTCCCTCCACCCCTCCCTCCCCCCCCTCCCCTCCCTCCCTCCCCCCTCCCTCCCCCCCTCCCTCCCCCCTCCCTCCACCCCTCCCTCCCCCCCCCTCCCTCCTTCCCTCCCCCCTCCCTCCCTCCCCCCCCTCCCTCCCTCCCCCCCCTCCTTCCCTCCCTCCCTCCCTTCCTCCCTCCCCCCCCTCCCTCCCTCCCTCCCCCCCCTCCTTCCCTCCCTCCCTCCCTCCCTCCCTCCCCCCCCTCCTTCCCTCCCTCCCCCCCCTCACTACCTCCCCCCCTACCTCCCTCCCTCCTTCTGAGAACGAGGAGCGAACGCCGTGGTGGCAGCGGAGTGGCGTGATCATTATTTATTAATTTAATTCGTGGCGACTTGCTCCCCTTCCGCCCCCTCCCCCCACCACGACGTCGCCCTCTCAGCTGGGCGACGACGACGGGGCGCGACTGACACTGAGCTTCGTGGCTGCCCTCGTCCGCTTCTGCGAGGCGCTCACCTCGGGTGGCCGGAGTTGGGGCGGCGCGCTGGAGGACCTCCGCTCCGCCACGCTGGACACCGCCACCCCCTACGCCTGGCAGGTGCGGGAGCTGGGGGAGCTGGGGGAGCTGGGGGAGCTGGGGGCGCGGGGGGAGCGGGGGGAGCTGGGGGAGCTGGGGGAGCTGGGGGAGTTGGGGGAGCTGGGGGAGCGGGGGGAGCGGGGGTGTAGGGGGGGTTGAAGTAGGCGCTCGCTCACAGCACTCGCGCGTGGCACTGCCACCCCGGCCACCCCGAGTTCGGTTCGCGCTCGTGGACAACACGGGTGACGGATATCGTAACCGGGCATGGGCCTGCCCGAGGTTGACTCGGCCTTAATTGAGTACCCGGTGCGGTATATTAATGCCTGATGCATGAAACATCAGCGCTGGGGGAGACAAAGGGCGTGGTGCTGGCCACCCACCCCCTGGTGTGCCATGCTGGCCTTGACGGGTGCTCGCGAACAGCGCTTTCTCCAACAGTGTGTTGCAAGCGATATGGGAGATGTGAGTATGTTGTGTAAAGTCGGGGGAGGGGTGGCACAGGAGTTGGCGCACTGCGCTCCAGACGCGGCCACCCGGGTTGGATTCCCGATGACGGTGTGACGCGTGACGGGGCGTGAGTGGCGTATCATGGGCTCCCCGCTTCACCCGTTCCGCGCCGACCAGCGCGGTGAAGTACGGCAAGAGAGGCCTCTAATCTGCGTGGCTAAACACGGCGGGATATTACGTCGTGTGTGTGTACATGACCGTGACCCTAATAAAAGGCCATGACCCCTAACGCAGGACTATGTTGAACACGTAGTAGGCTTTCGCGACCAATATTATTCATAATAGTGTTTTTTTTTGTGTTAGATCGCGTCAATGTAAATGTCGTTAAGAACCGCCACCACCTGACACAGCCACAAATCTGGCTTTCGCCTGATGCTAGTTGTAATTACAGGCGAAACGTCGTGCTCAGATTGTAAATGTTGTGGATTTACTCTCCAACACACCGGTGTGTGCTGTACTAGTGACGAATTAGCATGTTCTGTTTACGTGACAACCCTTACTAATTGGCTGTGTCGGGTGGTGGCGGGTTTAATGACACATTTATATTTACGTGATATGACCCCAAAAAACCTCCATCAAGGCCTAACTATATTGTGATCCTAACTGCCAACACAGCCCCTTAAAACATTTGTGATTTAACCAAGCGGCGACGTGGTTTTAATGTAGAGTAGGCCATCAAGTTGTGGTAGTCCATGTTCTGTTAGTGTGGGCACACCGGTTCCCGTCGCCCAGACCGCTTCGACTACAGCAAAGTGATATCGTGGCATAGTACAATGTAGTCAAAGTACTGCTACACCAGTTAGTGGTGTGGTTAGTGGAGTTAAGGTGTGTTGAACTTCTTTCGCACTGTACGCCGCCAACCGTGTTGACTGGAGGTGCGTGCGTGCCGCGCAGGCGCTGGCCGGCGTGTACCTGCGCGCCGGGAGGGCGCTCGCCGCCGAGGTTTGCTACCGGCACGGGCTGCAGGTGGCGGCGCGCGTCGGCGACTTCTCGGGGAAGGTCTCCTCCCTGCTGCGCCTCGCTCACCTCGCCGTCGTCATCGTCGCCGTACGCGGGGGGAGGGGGCTCGCACGCACGCACGCGTACACGCGCACGTACACGATTGTTGCCGTGCTGCCTTCTCCTGGCGAGTCGATGTACGGCTCTTCCTCGACGCCCACGGGATCAACGGGGGATCTTTGTCTCTTCCGCGGGGGTCACAGGCCGGGGTGAAGGAGGAGCGCTGGGCGCCGCTGGCGCAGGAGGCGCTGGCGACGTTGGCGAAGGCGGCACCGGGGGAGGCGGTGACGCGGCTCCTGCAGGGGGCGCTGCCCTTCTGCATGAACCCCGGGGCAAGGTGGCACGCGCGCGGGGACACTTCTTGAAACATGTACTGACACACACACTGACACACACACTGACACACACACTGACACACACACTGACACACACACTGACACACACACTGACACACACACTGACACACACACTGACACACACACTGACACACACACTGACAACCGCCATTCGCCACTAAGTGGCGGTGACGTCACCACGACGCTTGTGCCAGGCTATGTGCACCCTGAGGCCACGTGAAGTGTCGAACGCCCGCTGGCAGGAGGTCACGGGGCAGACCCAGGTGCCACGGGTCGACTGACTGAGATGACTGGCTGATGCACCACCTGTGCCCCCTACTGTGCCAACCTGCTGTGCTTTAGCCACCCGGCGCTCCGCTCGCTGTTGTGAGCGTCGCTCCTCCGCCCTCCGTTGTTGTTGGAGGGCGACTGCCTCCAACTGCCCAGTAGCATCCTTCACGAGCCTCCTCCACAGAGGCCGATCTTGACACCGCTGGTACCAGTCATCGGCAAGTCCACTCAGCTCCACGTCCTCCTGTACCACATCACTCCATCTCTTCTCTAGCCCGTGCCGCGCCCGCTTAGCCCCCTCAATCCGGCCGAACAAAAGCTGTTTCGGCATGCGGTGGCTGGGCATGCGGGCTACATGACCCAGCCATCGCAGCCTTGCCTGCCGGAGGAGCTCACCGATGGGACCCTGCCCAGATCTTTCAAGGATTTGTGAGCTCCTCACACAATCCAGTCTGGTTAAACCCAGGATGGATCGTAGGCAGGCCAGCCTAAATGTTTCTAACCGGCGAAGATGTTCCATTAGGGGGGTCCACGTTTTGCAAGCGTAGAGAAGGGAGGGAATGACCGTGGCCGAGAAGACCTGAAGCTTAGTGCGGAGCGACAGACCAGGTAGCTTCCACACAGCGTTACGCAACCGATGAAAAGATATTGCCGCTCGACTGATTCGGAGTGAGACCTCTGCTGTTAAACTGGAGCCAGTCATAAGCACACTGCCCAGGTATGGGAAACTCTCCACTCTCTCCACAACTGCCCCATCACCGATTGGGAGATGTGGGGGTGGAGTGTCCGATGGTACAAAATACCCAGGCAGGTGCTTAGTTTTGGTGGGGCTGATGGTAAGGGGCTGATGGTAAGGCCCCACCTCTAGTGTATCTCAGCATACATAACGTGGTTGAGCAATAGGGAGCCATCCCTTGACCGCACCCGGGCATCGATCAGCCTCCCATTATATCTGTACCATATGGAGATTCCCCCGGTACAGCTATTGAAGGCTTCACGAACTACGTGGTCAAAATAGATGTTAAATAATGTGGGAGCCAGAGGACATCCCTGTCGCACCCCAAGGTGTACAGGGAATGGTTCTGACTCCCGGCCACGTAGTTTTACCCGGGCCCGCTCACCATCATGAAGGTCCTTAATGATCGTGAGCAGAGGGTCAGGTACTCCAAAAGCACGAAGAACAACCCAGAGCCCAGGCCTACTGATGGTATCATAGGCCTTGACCAGGTCAATAAAGCAGAGATGTAGGCCTTGTTGGAATTCCCTACACCTCTGCTGTAGCAGACGGACAGAAAATATGGCATCTGTGCAGGACCGCCCTTTCCTGAAACTGGATTGGGGCTCCGCAAGCCTCTCCTCAGCGTGCCTGGCAAGGCGATGCTGAATAATCCTTGCCAGGACCTTTCCCGGCACACTGAGAGTGAGATGCCCCTGTAGTTGCTACAGTCTGTGCGGTCCCCCTTCTTAAAAAGGGGGACCACCAGGGCATCCTTCCAATCCTGCGGAACCCGTCCAGTGGTCCAGACTGTTGTTATGATGTCATATAGGGCAGTCTGTGCACAAACGCCACCCTCCCTCAGCATTTCGCTTGGGAGATCATCTCTGCCCGCTGCCTTTCCTGGTCTCAGACTCCGGATCGCCTTCAGTACTTCCTCAACAGATGGCACCTCAGCCAGCCACTCACAGGGGGTGACTTCTTCCAAATTTGAGGCACCGCAGGCTCAGCAGGGTCATCCTCACTTTGTGCCACGATGTTTTCCTGGCTGAGGGATTTTCCCTCCCCCAGGACCTCACAGAAATGCTCAGCAAATCTGCAAACCTGTTCCTGGGGGTCGGAGATTGGATCACCGTTTTTTCCCCTAATGATGGTAATAGGTGTGGCGCTGCAGGTTACTTTTTTGATGGAGTTAACTAGAGATTTGTGATCACGGGCCACTGAGGCAGACTCCATCTCCTCAGCAACCCGCGACCACCACCCATCCTTGCAGCACCTCACGGCTCTCCGAACCTCCGAGCGAAGGCTGCGGTAAGCCTCCTCATTCTTTGACGTGGGATTCTGTAGCCGATGACAGTGGGCCTGTCGCTTTCTCTCAACCATCCTGAACACCTCCTCTGTCAGCCAGGGTCTCTGGGGAGGTCTGGACCGCGTACCTAAAGCAGCCATTGCAGCTGCATGAGTCACAGTCCTAAACCTCGCCCATTTACCCTCGACATCAGGAGGAGTCGGGGACGATGCCAATCCCAGCCGCAAGCGATGATGAAATTCTCGCTTGCAACTTTCATCAGATAACTGAGACCAACCACGAGTTAAACACACTGACGAACACACTGACACACACACTGACGAACACACTGACACACACACTGATACACACACTGACACACACACTGACACGCACACTGACGAACACACTGACACACATTGACGAACACACTGACACACACACTGACGTACACACTGACACACACACTGACGAACACACTGACGCACACACTGACGAACACACTGACGCACACACTGACGAACACACTGACACACACACTGACGAACACACTGACGCACACACTGACGAACACACTGACACACACATTGACGTACACACTGACGAACACACTGACGTACACACTGACGAACACACTGACGAACACACACCACTCACTGAGACAACAAAGACAAAGATCCCCTGTATAGCTTGAACAGACATTTGGGGCAAGTGCTGTTAGCAAGCACCTATGAAGGCCGGCACGACACACGAGGGTGGCGATGTTCCCGCACTGGACCAGGTACTCATTTGAGGCTGAGTCGACAAAGAGGAGGCCCAAGACCGGTTCAACTATTCGTCACTATTATTGGTCGTGAGAGGGAATCGAACTCGAGTCGCCGGGTTCGTAGCACAGTGCGCTACCATTGCACCGTGCGCTACCATTGCACCACGCAAACGCACGCGCAGGCACGGACACACACAAACGCACACACGTGCACACACGCACTCACGGGTACACAGCCGCTCACAAACGCACGTACGCACGTGAACGGACGTACGTTTAGCGGACACGCACGCGAACGCGCGCACGCTATCTGGTGGGTACGTGCACGGAGGGCCCAGGGCACGCATTCATGGCCGTGACCGGGAACTCCGGTCGCCGGGTTCGTAGCGCGGTGCAGCGTTAACCATTGCGCCACCGCTCCGCGCACATGCATCAGAGCAAAAAACAAGGAAATGGAAATCGGGGTAAAAACAACGTGACGTCAGCGCCCCACGCGCCTCCCCCCGTCTCTCTCTCGCGGCCTCGCGCCCTCGCCAGGCAAACGCGCAAGGCCCTGGAGCGAGCGGCGCGTGGCGCCGGCATCGAGGCCTCCATCGCGCGCTGCCTCCTCGTGCGCCACCTGCTGCTCAAGAGCGACGACCACCTCTTGCAGGTACGCGGGACAAGGACGAAGGGTGGCCTTTACCGGACTCTCGGGGCAAGTGCTTCTTGCGAGTAGCAGCACCTATGAAGGGCGGAACGGCACACGAAGGGGTGGTGTGGTCTGGACCACGCCGCATTGAGTATTCGTTAAAAGGCTGGGTCGACCGGGGAGGGGGGGGGGGCCCAGGACTGGTTCACATTCGTCACCGGTGTTGGCCATGAGCAGGAATGTAACTCGAGTTGCCGGGTTCGTGGTGCATGCAGCGCACTAAACACTCTGCCACCGTTCCCCACCTGGCATGAACAAAACAAAGTTCCCCCATATAGCCATAACATATTCTTGGGGCAAGTGCTGTTTAGCGAGAACCTACGAATGCCGGCAATGCACACGGGGGGGGCGGGTAGCCAGCACCACGTCCGGCTGCCTTTGTCTCACCAGTGGCGATGTTGACACACCGCACCAGGTACTCATTTGAGGCTGAGTCAACCCAGCGGAGGCCCAGGACCGGTTTAGATAATCGTCACTGGTGTTCACCGTGAGCGGGAATCGAACGTGGTTCGCCGGGTTCGTAGTGTAGTGCGCTAACCATTACAATACCGCTCACACACACACACACGCTTGCGTACGTGTGCGCACCTACGGATGCCGTGCCCTACGCCCATGCAGCGATGGCGGTCACGCTTTACCCCGGCTGCTGCTGCTGCTGCTGTTGCGATCGCAGATCTTGCTGGAAGACGTGAAGACGTGCGGGGACACGAGGACGCTGGCGCTGCACGCGCGTCTCTCCGCCGGAAGCTAGAGGACCGCCCGCGCACCTGCCCGCCAACTCGCCAACCAACCCCACCCGCCCGCCAACCCACCCGCCCACCCGCCTGTGAACAGGGTCACCGCGCTAACGACCAGCGAGCGATGGCGTGCGACGCGCGCGACGTCGGTGCGCCTGCGGTTCCGCCGCGGACTGCCACGAGGGTGTAGATTCTTCACGCGGACTCGATCCTGGCGTGCGTCGTTTTGCGTAAGAATCGATGGTTGTGGATGCGTGGAAATTCCGAGCGAACGATGTGCCGGTGCACTCTCCTACCTCTCATCTCACTCTCAAAACTCTCCGCTCTCGTTTACCCGTTCATCTCAGTTCCCCGTTCATCTCAGTTCCCCACTCAAGTCCTCGCTCAAGGGTTTGTGTTGCCCTCGGCTATTCACGGCCTCTTTCTCTCCCAATGAATGCGACCACTGTCCCTGTGCGGCATCTTTGAGAAGCTGTCGCCATGCGTACCCCGTGGACCCGGGCGGCAGGGGGTGGAGGCAGCGCGGTGGTGACACTCGCGCCTCGCGGCAGAAAGCACCAGGGTTCGAGTCCCACCTTGGGCGACTTTCTGTGTTCTCCCCGTGACCCGCGTGGGTTCCCTCCGGGTTCTCTGGTTTTCTCCCACGGATAAAAAACCCACGCACAATGTATCGATTGGGCAAAGACATCCCGATGTTGAACAATTACCTGCCAATGACTCAACTGAGATCACGCAGCAGCAGCAACGCAGCTCCCCAGCTCCCGCGACAACTGAAAAGGCTTCTTGATACTCAGGACTTTCCTGGGTAACAGCAAAAAGCGTGAAGGTAATAATATGATACAATAATAATGAAATATAAAAATGCACAATGTGTTGTATTGCATTAAAGCACGGCTCCGGCAATGACCCTTGCTGACCCTTGCTGACCCTTGCTGCCCGTCGGGGCGGGTTGGTGTGGCTGGCGCATAGCAGCGTTGGCCGCGACGTCCTCTGAACCGCGTTGTGCCTCGGGAGTGAAGCCCACCGATTGCCTTACCACACCCGCCGTCACGATGGAATAAACTCAGAGCTGCTCACTCTAAGCCTACTCTCCGCCTTTATTACAACACCGCAGTCCGTGTGTGTGTGAGGGGGGAGCGGCGGTGCAGTGGTTAGCGGTACGCTACGAAACCGGCGAGCCGAGTTCGATTCCCGTTCACGGCCAACACCGGTGACGAGTATCTGAACCGGTCCTGGGCCTCCCCTAGGTCGGTGTGTAAAAACATCGCCACTGCGGACACAGGCGATCGGGCGTGGTGCTGGCCACCCCACACCCCCTCGTGTGCCGTGCCGGCCTTCATCGGTACTCGTTATACGGGGGGGGGGGGTCATTGCTTTGGTTAGCGAGTCCCTATGAACGCTCGGCATCGGCACGTGTCGTGAAGCGGTGATCAGCGATGTGGCCAACACCCCGCAAGGTTTTTGTGTAGAGTCGAGTCGACCCAGTAAGGAATATCGCCGATGCTAGCCGTGGATGCAAATCGAACCGTGGGGCGGGCTGCGTTTGCACACTGAATGAAGTTCAAAAATTTATTTTCACCAAACCTCAAATCCAAGCGAGGCAGCCCGGTTCGTCCATTGACCTCGAGGTGCCGATCTCGCGCTGCGACGCATTGCCTAGAATCGGGTGCAGGTTGTCGGGACGTGCTGGAGTTGTTCTGCAGTATACAGGTGAACACGCGGTGAACACGCGTAGGCTTTCGCGACCAATACGAGTTGGCCGTGTCAGGTGGAGGAGGGAGTGCAACAACAACAACACGCTTCGCTGACACGATGCGGACCCGCGAGACGACCGTGAATCGGCGCGTGAGGTTCGTTTTGCAGTTCGGGTTTCTTCGACGGGACGTTCGCCAACGGGATGGAACGCATCCACGAGTGAGGGGGCATTCTCAGGGCAATCGTTGCCAATCCACGAGGGCAGTTTCAGGGCAATCGTCACCGGGAATGGTTGGGGTTGGCCGTTTCCCATCGGCAAAAATCTCATCTGTCTCCCTCCCTAAATCGGAACCGTTCTCATCCAGTGCCGGATGAAGATAGTGCGGGGCCTGTTGCTTATGTAAATATCAAAACACAACAATTTTTAACTTGCATAGTAAAGTAATTGTATTTTTTCATTTGCTATACAGCCAGATAATACGACAAATCGCTAACCTTAAACACCCAGTCATTTATAAAGTTGAAGGCGGTATAGTACTATAGTAATAGAGCAAGTGCAGAATCACTGAACTGGAATTGATAGCTTGAAAGTATTTAGCGCGGGGGCCCTTGAAAGTGCGGGGCCCGTAGCATGTGTAGCTACTACATGTGTAGCTACTTGTGCTGCACGTGTATCTACTTGTGCTGCACGTGTATCTACTTGTGCTGCACGTGTAGCTACTTGTGCTGCACGTGTAGCTACTTGTGCTGCACGTGTAGCTACTTGTGCTGCACGTGTAGCTACTTGTGCTGCACGTGTAGCTACTTGTGCTGCACGTGTAGCTACTTGTGCTGCATGTGTAGTAGCGACTTGTGCTGCACGTGTAGCTACTTGTGCTGCACGTGTAGCTACTTGTGCTGCACGTGTATCTACTTGTGCTGCATGTGTAGTAGCGACTTGTGCTGCACGTGTAGCTACTTGTGCTGCATGTGTAGTAGCGACTTGTGCTGCACGTGTAGCTACTTGTGCTGCACGTGTAGTAGCGACTTGTGCTGCACGTGTAGCTACTTGTGCTGCATGTGTAGTAGCGACTTGTGTTGCACGTGTAGCTACTTGTGCTGCACGTGTAGCTACTTGTGCTGCACGTGTAGCTACTTGTGCTGCACGTGTAGCTACTTGTGCTGCATGTGTAGTAGCGACTTGTGCTGCATGTGTAGTAGCGACTTGTGCTGCATGTGTAGCTACTACTACACGTGTAGCTACTTGTGCTGCACGTGTAGATACTTGTGCTGCACGTGTAGTAGCGACTTGTGCTGCACGTGTAGTAGCGACTTGTGCTGCTGGGATAATCCGGCACTGCTCTCATTCAAGCTGCCCCTCGTGGGGTAGTGTTGCGGTAGCTTCCAATTCCTTCCGATATGAGGAAACCACAAGTAGCTTTTGCACTTGTAAATCATCTAAATTGTGCCACCCTCGCCCATGGTTCATGCTTTGCCGGTGACGACCGCCCTGAAATTGCGGTGGATCGCGTTTTAGACAACGGCTCGATAACAGTCAAAAGTGTTACAGTTAATCTTGGGTGCACATCGTAAACACGGATACGTGGCCGTGATTGATAAAGTTTTTGTAAAAAAAATCTCCATCGCATCGCGGGCACAAGCAAAAAATTTAAATTCACCACGATAGAAACTCACGCACGAACGCATTAATCGCCGAATTGTAAGGCGCACTCTGAAATGTAAAATGTATCCAAACGTAACGATTGGGGAAGGCATTGCTGGGACCTTACATGGGGAGACGAGGCCACTGCCAACAACGTCATCTGCTTAATATTTACATGAATCTCCAGTGCACCTTTACTAATCTCTGCAATTTGCACAACTGTGCAGCCGATCGGTGTGGATACTGTGGGAGAGGGGGGGGAGGTATCTCAGATGCGGGTCATAGCTCGTGATAAACCTCACAGTGCCACAGGGCAAGCCCTGTGGCCAGGAGACACGGGTAGGTGGATCACCGCACAAGTGTGGGTGTCGAGGGGGAGCAATACCCTGAGCTCGCAAGGATAAGGCGGGAACAGCAATGTGCAGACTGATCTCCATCCGTCCCTCCCGTACGGGATACGCCGTTGCCCTCTCGCAGGCGCGGGGTTTCTCCCACGTGTAATACGCACTGATAAATTGGCTGAAAACATCTTAATGTATAGAGGACCGCAGAGCTTGGGCGATTGTTGGTAGCGCCGGCTTGCCGCCCGCCGGCTACCTTCCGGCTCTCGTGTCTGGTTCCTCAGCGATTTTGAGAGATGCGATCCGCATGAGTGGTGGAACTCCGACATCAAATGTAAAACTTAACATCATCATCATCGGACATGAACGTGCGGCCCAGTAACGGGCGCTTGTAGACGCTCGGCAAGCGTCGGGAGCTCCTGTCAGCAGAGAGCTGTAAAAATTAACTTCACCGAGTCGTGGGAGAGACCTCGCGCTGGCAACAACAGCGCCGGACAATTGAATCATTTGGCAGGACCCCGGGGTCCCGCAAAAATCTGGTCAATAATTATTATTTTTCAGTCCGCCCACTCGTGATCCCGACAGCAACGCGCCGCCCGCCCAGACTCGCGCCAACAAGCGCCAGCAGGCGGCGATCAACACGATGGGCGCCACCCCACCGGCCAAACGCAAGCCCCGGGCGTCCGCCGCAGTCGCGCGCGGCGACAACGCCCTCCGGTCAGTCGTCAATCCTCAGCTTCTTTGCCAAGGCGAGCCCGCCCCTGCAGTGAATTTAACGTGTTCATGTAATTTTTCAACTTTTTACGAAACTTAGTGCCCCGAGTAGCTCTCGACGAGGCCAATCGATTGACACTAGTTTTGTTGTCGGTAAGGCAGCAAGACTCGTGTCACTACGCGGTTTTTCCCACCCCGGGGCAGTGATGGGACCCCGGGGTCCCGCCAATTGCTTCAATTTACCGAGCAGCGGTTGTGTGTACAGACAATCCCCGGGTTGTGGAAGAGCCAACTTACGGACATCCGATAAATCATATAAAAAAATGTCAATATGCGGAAATGTTTGCGTGAGTTACGGAAGCTTAATTAGTGCAGCGCGGTGAGGTTGCGGATGAAAAACCGTGGAGCCAGGCGTAAGGCGGGGCAGCCTCACGAGGCATTTTTCTTGATTTTGGGGGAAAATTGTTCAGTTTCCGAGACATGGAAAATGCGGGTGACGGATCGTTCTCGGGAACCTAAACCTTCCGTAAGCCGGGGACCGTCTTCTGTATGTTAAAATTATTTCGAATTGCGCGTTGGCCAACCGTGCTGATCGGCGTATTGCGTGCGGCCTGCGTGGGAAGGGCAGGCCAACTGCCCTCCAGAGGGCAGCGAGCTACTGCTGCTCTCTCTGTTGGAGGCACTTGCGCCAGCAGTGGCATGAGCAAGCAATTGCAGGGCTGCACCTTTACCTGACACGGAGTATGCGGATACAAGATTATTCGTGGCCGGCAACGTTTTGTCTGCGGCGAAAGTCACGAGGTTTGCTGCGAAGTCGCTTCGGCGGACCTGTGCGTGTGTGCGGGGAAACCCCACGAATGTCGTGAAAGGACACGGATAGAATGATCCGAGTGAGATGTAGACGAGATGTAGACGAGAGACAGAGATGCCACCAGGCGATAAAAAAATGTGCACGTAAGATGGAGGTGTAAATAGATCAGGAGTCATCCTGATCGGAGACGGGGCTGCCGTGAAACGAGAGAGGTGTAGATAGAGATGATGGGAATGTGAGGAAAAATAAAGATGAGAGAAGAGAGATTTCGTGAGACGACGGGAGAACAAAGGAGATGCGAGGAGGGAGATACTGGCAGGATCGATTTGGTTCAGCCCTGATCACTCAGGAATCCAAGGCCCCTTTTGCTGCTTGATACAGTTCGATTTTGCTTCATTTTATTTTTGTTCGCTGATTACCGCCACTGTCAACGCGATCCCCGTTGTACCCTGATGATCTCTGGTGATCCCCAGCATGATCCGGTGATCTCCGGTGATCGCCAGTGATCTCTGGCGCGATCTACACCATGATTCCCACTGATCCTCTCTGATCCCCGGCATTCCCAGGTAATCCCCGGTGCTTTCTGGTGATCGTCCAGCACGATCCTTGGCAAAGTCCCAGTGATCTTCCGTGATCCTGGCACGATCCCTGGTGACCGCCAGCACCTCCGATGATCCCAGGAAATCCCCGGTGCGATCCCCCGCGACCCCCCCATCCCACTCCCCGTGTCGGTCACTCGTCCACCATGCGGCGGATGCGCCGCACCTCCCGCGCCACGGACTCGTGCTCGAGCCGCGAGCGAGCGTCGTGCACGGCGCGCAGGGAACTCATGCTGTCGTGCACCGCGGAGAAACCTGCACCACAACACACGGGCACAAAGGGCGAAGGACCCCCTGGTTGTAGCCTTAACAGACCGTTGGGGCAAGTGCCGTTAGCTATTAAGGCCGGAACGTCACGCGAAGGGGTGGGTGGCCAGCCACCGTTGCTGGCGACCAACATGATTATTAGCCCGGCGTTGGGCGCGAACGACCGCCCAACTGCCCGCCCGCGCGTCCGTCCGTCCGTCCGCGTGTGCGGCGCGCGCACGCACCGGCCTGGTACTCGGCACGCAGGGCGGCGACCTCGTCGTGCCGGCGCTTGTCGTGGCGCGTGACGCGAGCCGCCAGCCGCTCGGCGCTCTGCGCGGCGCTCGCCGCCTCGCGCTCCGCGCCCGCGCGCCACTCCTCCAGCCGCTCCAGCCGGGACACCACCTGCTGGAGCTGCAGCTGCAGCCGGCGCTCCACCTGCTCCTGCGGCGCGTGGAGGGCGGTGGTGGGATGAGTGTCGGAGACGGTGCGTAGAGTTGCCAGATCAAACCCGAAGCGTCTCCCTTTACGCGCCCTAGGCCAGGTTGCCGGGCAACCGAAATAACAAGAAGAGGCATTTTTTTTCCGAATATTTCAAGTTGCGTGCGAATACGAAACGGTGGTGGCCCTTGACAAATGACGTCACGAAGCGGTCCTTAAAGAACCGCACGCGGCTCAGGAGCCGCGGGTTGCCGGCCCCTGCCCTCGGCCGTCGTAGAAATTGCCCAGTACTGTGATGGTGTGTTGATGTGTGTGATGGTGTGTTGATGTGTGTGATGGAGGGTGATGGTGTGTTTATGTGTGTGATGGAGGGTGATGGTGTGTTTATGTGTGTGATGGAGGGTGATGGTGTGGTTATGTGTGTGATGGAGGGCGATGGTGTGTTTATGTGTGTGATGGAGGGTGATGGTGTGTTTATGTGTGTGATGGAGGGTGATGGTGTGTTTATGTGTGTGATGGAGGGTGATGGTGTGTTTATGTGTGTGATGGAGGGTGATGGTGTGTTGATGTGTGTGATGGAGGGTGATGGTGTGTTTATGTGTGTGATGGAGGGTGATGGTGTGTTGATGTGTGTGATGGAGGGTTATGGTGTGTTTATGTGTGTGATGGAGGGTGATGGTGTGTTTATGTGTGTGATGGAGGGTGATGGTGTGTTTATGTGTGTGATAGAGGGTGATGGTGTGTTTATGTGTGTGATGGTGTGTTTATGTGTGTGATGGAGGGTGATGGTGTGTTTATGTTGTGTGATGGAGGGTGATGGTGTGTTTATGTGTGTGATGGAGGGTGATGGTGTGTTTTATGTGTGTGATGGAGGGTGCTGGTGTGTTTATGGTGTGATGGAGGGTGATGGTGTGTTTATGTGTGTGATGGAGGGTGATGGTGTGGTTTATGGTGTTTATGGAGGGTGTGATGTGTGTTTATGTGTGTGATGGAGGGTGATGGTGTGTTTATGTGTGTGATGGAGGGCGATGGTGTGTTTATGTGTGTGATGGAGGGTGATGGTTGTGTTTATGTGTGTGATGGAGGGTGATGGTGTGTTTATGTTGTGTGATGGAGGGTGATGGTGTGTTTATGTGTGTGATGGAGGGTGATGGTGTGTTGATGTGTGTGATGGAGGGTGATGGTGTGTTTATGTGTGTGATGGAGGGTGATGGTGTGTTGACTGTGTGTGATGGAGGGTTATGGTCGTGTTTTATTGTGTGTGATGGAGGGTGATGGTGTGTTTTATGTGTTGATGGGAGGGGTGATGGTGTGTTTAGTGTGTGATGGGGTGTGTGTTATGTGTTGATGTGTGTATGTGTGTGAGGAGGGTGATGGTGTGTTTATGTGTGTGATGGAGGGTGATGGTGTGTTTATGTGTGTGATGGAGGGTGATGGTGTGTTTATGTGTGTGAGGAGGGCGATGGTGTGTTTATGTGTGTGATGGAGGGTGATGGTGTGTTTATGCGTGTGATGGAGGGTGAGGTGTTTTATGTGTGTGATGGAGGGTGATGTGGTGTGTTTTATGTGTGTGATGGAGGGTGATGGTGTGTTTATGTGTGTAGATGGAGGGTGATGGTGTGTTTATGTGTGTGATGGAGGGTGATGGTTGTTTTATGGTGTGATGGAGGGTGATGGTGTGTTTATGTGTGTGATGGAGGGTGATGGTGTGTTTTATGTGTGTGATGGAGGGTGATGGGTGTTTATGTGTGTGATGGAGGGTGATGGTGTGTTTATGTGTGTGATGGAGGGTGATGTGTGTTTATGTGTGTGATGGAGGGTGATGGTGTGTTTATGTGTGTGATGGAGGGTGATGGTGTGTTTATGTGTATGATGGAGGGTGATGGTGTGTTTATGTGTGTGATGGAGGGTGATGGTGTGTTTATGTGTGTGATGGAGGGTGATGGTGTGTTTATGTGTGTGATGGAGGGTGATGGTGTGTTATGTGTGTGATGGAGGGTGATGGTGTGTTTATGTGTGTGATGGAGGGTGATGGTGTGTTTATGTGTGTGATGGAGGGTGATGGTGTGTTTATGTGTGTGATGGAGGGTGATGGTGTGTTTATGTGTGTGATGGAGGGTGATGGTGTGTTTATGTGTGTGATGGAGGGTGATGGTGTGTTTATGTGTGTGATGGAGGGTGATGGTGTGTTTATGTGTGTGATGGAGGGTGATGGTGTGTTTATGTGTTTGATGGAGGGTGATGGTGTGTTTATGTGTGTGATGGAGGGTGATGGTGTGTTTATGTGTGTGATGGAGGGTGATGGTGTGTTTATGTGTGTGATGGAGGGTGATGGTGTGTTTATGTGTGTGATGGAGGGTGATGGTGTGTTATGTGTGTGATGGAGGGTGATGGTGTGTTTATGTGTGTGATGGAGGGCGATGGTGTGTTCATGTGTGTGATGGAGGGTGATGGTGTGTTTATGCGTGTGATGGAGGGTGATGGTTGTTTATGTGTGTGATGGAGGGTGATGGTGTGTTTATGTGTGTGATGGAGGGTGATGGTGTGTTTATGTGTGTGATGGAGGGTGATGGTGTGTTTATGTGTGTGATGGAGGGTGATGTGTTTATGTGTGTGATGGAGGGTGATGGTGTGTTTATGTGTGTGATGGAGGGTGATGGTGTGTTTATGTGTGTGATGGAGGGCGATGGTGTGTTTATGAGTGTGATGGAGGGTGATGGTGTGTTTATGTGTGTGATGGAGGGCGATGGTGTGTTTATGTGTGTGATGGAGGGTGATGGTTGTGTTTATGTGTTTGATGGAGGGTGATGGTGTGTTTATGTGTTTTATGGAGGGTGATGGTGTGTTTATGTGTGTGATGGAGGGTGATGGTGTGTTTATGTGTGTGATGGAGGGCGATGGTGTGTTTACGTGTGTGATGGAGGGTGATGGTGTGTTTATGTGTGTGATGGAGGGTGATGGTGTGTTTATGTGTGTGATGGAGGGTGATGGTGTGTTTATGTGTGTGATGGAGGGCGATGGTGTGTTTATGTGTGTGATGGAGGGTGATGGTGTGTTTATGTGTGTGATGGAGGGTGATGGTGTGTTTATGTGTGTGATGGAGGGTGATGGTGTGTTTATGTGTGTGATGGAGGGTGATGGTGTGTTTATGTGTGTGATGGAGGGTGATGGTGTGTTTATGTGTGTGATGGAGGGTGATGGTGTGTTTATGTGTGTGATGGAGGGTGATGGTGTGTTTATGTGTGTGATGGAGGGTGATGGTGTGTTTATGTGGGTGATGGAGGGTGATGGTTGTTTATGTGTGTGATGGAGGGTGATGGTGTGTTTATGTGGTGTGATGGCGGGCGATGGTGTGTTTGTGTGTGATGGAGGGTGATGGTGTGTTTATGTGTGTGATGGAGGGCGATGGTGTGTTTATGTGGGTGATGGAGGGCGATGGTGTGTTTGTGTGTGATGGAGGGTGATGGTGTGTTTATGTGTGTGATGGAGGGTGATGGTGTGTTTATGTGTGTGATGGAGGGTGATGGTGTGTTTATGTGTGTGCTGGAGGGTGATGGTGTGTTATGTGTGTGATGGAGGGCGATGGTGTGTTTATGTGTGTGATGGAGGGTGATGGTGTGTTTATGTGTGTGATGGAGGGTGATGGTGTGTTTATGTGTGTGATGGAGGGTGATGGTGTGTTTATGTGTGTGATGGAGGGTGATGGTGTGTTATGTGTGTGATGGAGGGTGATGGTGTGTTTATGTGTGTGATGGAGGGTGATGGTGTGTTTATGTGTGTGATGGAGGGCGATGGTGTGTTTATGTGTGTGATGGAGGGTGATGGTTGTGTTTATGTGTGTGATGGAGGGTGATGGTGTGTTTATGTGTGTGATGGAGGGTCATGGTGTGTTTATGTGTGTGATGGAGGGTGATGGTGTGTTTATGTGTGTGATGGAGGGTGATGGTGTGTTTATGTGGGTGATGGAGGGTGATTGTTGTTTATGTGTGTGATGGAGGGTGATGTGTTTATGTGGGTGATGGAGGGCGATGGTGTGTTTGTGTGTGATGGAGGGTGATGGTGTGTTTATGTGTGTGATGGAGGGCGATGGTGTGTTTATGTGGGTGATGGAGGGCGATGGTGTGTTTGTGTGTGATGGAGGGTGATGGTGTGTTTATGTGTGTGATGGAGGGTGATGGTGTGTTTATGTGAGTGATGGAGGGCGATGGTGTGTTTGTGTGTGATGGAGGGTGATGGTGTGTTTATGTGTGTGATGGAGGGTGATGGTGTGTTTATGTGGGTGATGGAGGGCGATGGTGTGTTTGTGTGTGATGGAGGGTGATGGTGTGTTTATGTGTGTGATGGAGGGTGATGGTGTGTTTATGTGGGTGATGGAGGGCGATGGTGTGTTTGTGTGTGATGGAGGGTGATGGTGTGTTTATGTGTATGATGGAGGGTTATGGTGTGTTTATGTGGGTGATGGAGGGCGATGGTGTGTTTGTGTGTGATGGAGGGTGATGGTGTGTTTATGTGTGTGATGGAGGGTGATGGTGTGTTTATGTGTGTGATGGAGGGTGATGGTGTGTTTATGTGTGTGATGGAGGGTGATGGTGTGTTTATGTGTGTGATGGAGGGTGATGGTGTGTTTATGTGTGTGATGGAGGGTGATGGTGTGTTTATGTGTGTGATGGAGGGTGATGGTGTGTTTATGTGTGTGATGGAGGGTGATGGTGTGTTTACGTGTGTGATGGAGGGTGATGGTGTGTTTATGTGTGTGATGGAGGGCGATGGTGTGTTTATGTGTGTGATGGAGGGTGATGGTGTGTTTATGTGTGTGATGGAGGGTGATGGTGTGTTTATGTGTGTGATGGAGGGTGATGGTGTGTTTATGTGTGTGATGGAGGGCGATGGTGTGTTTATGTGTGTGATGGAGGGTGATGGTGTGTTTGTGTGTGATGGAGGGTGATGGTGTGTTTATGTGTGTGATGGAGGGTGATGGTGTGTTTATGTGTGTGATGGAGGGT